CCCTAAACCTGCATACATACACACTGACACGATAACAACACATACACATACCATGAGGATCCCAGATTTCACCATTGCTCAGATATAAAAAAGTATAAGGCTGCACCAGTTGACAAAAAAACTGCAAGTCCATTACACAAAGACGATCAGGTTGGAAAAGCAGGTGCTGGAGCAAATCAATAAACAAAGTGACAGGAACGGGAAATGAAAAGCGACTAGGCCAGGTTAGTGCTTCTTACTGTGTAAGGAAACAGTTGCTAGTCAACTGCCTGGTAGTCAATTCACAGCAGAATAATTCAGGATGATTGGCATCCTCACGGGCAGTTGATAATGGCCACTAATCATGACAGTGAATAGATGCACACACACTTAATACACCTTTAGGCATCCTTTTCTCTGGGACCTCCCCAGCTCCCCCCCACACTAGCACAAACACAGTGTATACAGTACATCTGCCTCCTCCCACTGCCTGTAATGGGCTCTGAGTCAGGTGGAGATTGACACTTTTCTTTCTGCTGTGCTCCTTTTGTGTTCAACATTGTATTCATTCTTTACAACCTCATGCCGCCATTCAGAGAAGACATTTTTGTGTACATCAGCAAGATTTTGCATCACTGTGCATAATTACACAAAATTAATTTTATTTTTGGTTAGATAATTATGTGAACAGGTCTGATAATACTATAGCATCTTCTGTGTAATCCATCGTGCCAGCTGCTTTACAATGCAGTATTTGATAGATTTAATTTGATTTAATTTGAATTGCTGGCTTATAATACAATATTGCATTGTTTTACCCAATACAGTGATTTTTTTTTTCTAATTTGTTTTTTTCCACAGGCTAGAGGAAAACAGCATGTACACTGGTCCAAAAGAACAAAGAAACATCCTTTTTGTGGACACATGAAAGTTGATCCTTGGTTAAGACCCCTGTACAAGGAAACTGAGAAGCCTGCAGGCCATCCTTCACCCTGCTTGATAGTAAAGCTCTTCATTTGGACTAAAGCATGTCTAAGAGTCCCAACTTTCTGCTAAGCTGCAGCAAGAGGAATGTGTAAAATATTTGGAGTATGTGCAATTAAGACATTTTTGTAATTTTGACAGTATCAGTATATATAGGCCTACTGCTACTACTAATACTAATACTATTACTACAGTAAAGTGTGCATAAAAGCCCATCTTACTGGTACAAAATGTAATGTCACTGGAATCCCATTGTGCTTTATTCTTAAATGCGGTGGAACAAGTCAATACGATTTTTTGCTGGAAACAAGTCAAACAAACTGTAGCATTTCTAGCCACAGGGCTCGATTACTGACTGGGGTAACGTTGATGCAGGTCTGTGCCCCTGATTGGGATTTGAAGTCTGCGTTTAGGCCAGCTGTAATCACGCTGATTTCAGTAAACCGCTGCTGCGCGGCGCTCCTGAAGTAGACAAATGGGGGTATCTTTAAAATACCATAGCGGTAGGGCAAGTGACGGCAGAAAGCAACTGTTTACTGACGAGGAGAAAACAGCACAACCCCACCTCCACCAGATAAAATCTGTACAGTTTGCGTGTAGATACTCAATATTTAGATTTAGATTATTTAGAAGTGTATAGAGCGAACAACAATCATAAAAAACAATAAGCACATGATGCATCTTACAATGGCCTATTATAAAATATAAGGTCACATGACATTTGCATTTAATATCCAAAGTATTCAGTGTTGTAACACGTTTATGGTGTAGCATAGGTTTCGCTCAAAGCTCAAACGCTGTAGAATTAATAAATCAGGGGAAATTATTCGCCTTTTCTTTTTAGAAACAGCATGCAGGCCCTCGTCTCAATAACATATCAGAAAGGTGGTGTTCAAAAGGTTTGTTAAGATACCTTGCTCAAAAACATGACAGCGCTGGAAAAGAACAGGGCATTGTGTTGAATATGAGCAAACAACGTGCAGTCTGACATTGCTAAAGGTGAATACGAGTTAGTTCTGCACATGTCCCGACTCTGGTAGCCCCCTCGCCTCCTTTGGGAACACTTTCCCCCTCCCCCGGTCTTTAGTCCCCCTCAGACCACTCTGTTTTACCACAGACACCGAAACCACACCACTGCCACCCAGCGGCCACTCAGAGTGCGTTCATACTTTCACATGATTCATTACAACACAATTGGGATTAAACCTGCAATAAATTTGATAAATTAGGTCTAAAGAACTAGAATAGCAAACCATTGCTACATCAGGACAAAAATGGGCTAAATTTTAAACCAAAATTGTGGAAGCACAAAAGCAGTGTGTAACTGCGCCAAAAGACTCGAGCACGCGAAAGACGTGCTCGTGTGTAAATAGCATCTGTAAAACTAAAATAAAATTATAATACATTAATATGTTTTAAATGTGCAACATCACACATTATTCGCAGAAGTAGCTTGTGTGTCCTTGAGCAAGACACTGACCCAGTGCTGACCTTATAAAACAAAAGGGGAGGGGGCAGGCAAAAAACTCCAGAGCACCAGGTCCTGCTCCTGCTTTTTTTTTTTTTTTTTTTTTTTTTTTCTGGACTCTGCAAACATTTTTTATTTGTTTTTATTTTTTAAACATAATGCAATACCATATTTCATCATGTAATTTCGAATGAGGGTTTGCCACCTGCTTGTCTCCATGTGTTATTGCGTTGCCTGGAATATTCCCTTCTGTCTGTCTTGCATTTATCAAATTACAAGTAATTTATATTGAAAATGACTCATCTCTCCATAGGCCTATCTGACCTGCTGTACCCATGCCTCATTAAAGGGCCCATATTACTGTATTTCTTCATGTATGTTATAATATTGTTTCTTCATCAAAACCATACGTGGAGTCTTTATTTGTTTCATTCACACGTTTAACACACAAATCCTGCACATTTAGGCTGGGTTCTTCTCTCAAAAGGAAAGCACTCTGTTTCACCTTGTGATGTCATGTTTCAGCCCATACTTACTGAACTAAAGTTAAAAGATAGCTGTTAACTTCAAAAATATCATGACACGACAAGATGGAACAGAGCATTTTTGAGCTTTGGAGATGAAGACAGACAAATAATAAAGGAGTACTCAAATGTACGAATGAAACAAAACACAACTCCAGGTCTGTTTTTGAGGGGTAACAGCATTAGGCCTATAACATGGCAAAAAGCTCACAGTAATCCATTTGTGTAATATAAGACCTTTAAGCAAAGCAATATAGAACATCTCCATAAATACAAGCAGGTGCTGTGCCCTCCACCAAAACGTTTGTGCTACTTTAAACAACTTATGTCCCTAATAAAACTTATTTATCAGGGGGTTTAAACAAAGTTGTTATTTCTGCTATGTGTCTATGTGAGGTTTGGAGCTAAAGAAGCTGCGATAGGTTTTAGTGCTCCTTGTTTTACCTATTAAAAAGATATGTTTTGAATGTAATATATGGCATCCCTCCTCACTTGAAAGTCATAGATACATACTTATTAAAACAGCCTTCTATTGCAGCACCTACTTTCACATCAGCTATACATTTATATTCCTAGATTGTACTTTTGGATCATGGTAGGCTATAGCTTAGTCTAATCATTCTTTGTCAGTTCACATATTTTATTAATTTCATTAACATGGGGAGATGTATTTAGTCTGCTTTTGTTATATGGCATTCATATTCATATGGCATATCTTCTTTTCACTTGGCATTCATAAAGCAAGTAAGCTATTATAATTGTACTCTTTCAACCACCATTATGAGTGATTAAAATATTTTACTCTGGAATAAAAAAAACCTGTTAAATAAATAACTGAACTAAGAAATTAAAGAAAATAAATAAATCAGAATCAGTTTTAAGCAAAGGCTGGCTTTTTTGCCATTTGAGAAAGAAAAAGAATGTAGAATAGGCACTACTGATAGCAGATTTTTTTAAGGAAAATGATTTTATGATCAAAGCAGTCCTCAATAACAATGTGTCTAGAAAATTATGAGGATCACCTGGAATTGCGTTATTGTTTACTTTTTATGAGGCTCGGTAAAAAGCCATGTGACTGTCATAAGCAATCGTGAAATAATATAATATTTAACTGGAGATATGATACAACCTACACAAAGGCGAAATTGCACTTAAGTAATAATGGATTTTAAAAAACGGAAGCAGTCTGACATGATTTAGAGTGCGTCATGAAAATAAAATACAATAAAATATAAAACAAACAAGGGAAATATAAATCGATTATTACCTGTAATTACAAATCTGTATTGGCCACGCTTGCTTAGTTTTTAGGATTCCAACCAAAATAAACTGAGATGTTTTCTTAAGTCTAGACATCATATTGACAACGTAATCCTGTTTTTGAACATATTATAGCCGAGAAGTATTGCGAACAAAGTTATTTTGTCTAAGAAAACAACATAATGAAAGCCCATAACTTCAAATTCTGTGTCTTACAATCTAAACGCGATCATTAACATCTAATGAATAAGTGGTCCCAAACCCAAGGAACTGGGCTAGTGAGAGCAGCAAATCGATGGGAAACGTCTTGAATAGAAACGCTCAAGTCTGTGCAACTCGAATAAGGAGAACTGGACTTTAGACAGAGGGCAGTGGGATAACTGCCACGTTTGTGGCGCATGAATAAGTTCTATATGTAGTGAGATAAGACTTGGCTTTAGTAATGCAACTTTTATATTTTGAGAAACAGTTAAAACAGTGCAGTGCAGCCTATAGCTCCGAATATTGGCTATAGAATATGAGTTATCGACTACACTATGAACATACACAAACAAGACAAAAAAAAATAAATAAATAAATAAATAAATTCCCATAATAGCACAATACATTTGACCAAAAAGACCTAATGGTTGTTTATAATGTGTTTTAGTTCAAGAAAATACACAAATGCTTCACTCGCTTGTAAGACCCTGTTCATCCCAGACAGCCCCCTTGCATCGTCCTATGATTTGTGTGCTATAAACTGTTAGCTTTTTCTTTTTCCACGGCCGCTCGCTTTTCTCTATAGACTGCATCAGCTGATCTGTCACGTGTTCGGCGTCATGGGTCACCCTCTGCAAAATGGAGTTGTCTGAATCTGTGCAGAGAGGACTGAAGTTCCTCGCCGATCCGTCCGTCTTCGACCAGCGCGGTTTCTCGGTGCTGCTGGACGTGTCTTTCCGGAGTGTGCTCTCGGCTCACGGTGACGCCGCAGTGCTCGGTGAGCTGCAGCGTGTTTGGAGCTGCCGCTTTGTTCTCGCGCTGCTTCCGGGGTTTCTATCTAGCGTTAGCTTTGAGGTTGTAGCAAAATACACTACCGCCTGTAGGCATTTCTACTAAAATGCCGTATGTTCATAAGTTGTTGAGGAATGAAAATTAGACTGTTGCTTGTGCACACGTTCATCCATTAGCTGTGAGCTATGTTAGCCTTTTCTGTTGCTTCGCATTCATTAGCCGTCGGACTGAGCTACTACACACACACTGCCTTTTGTTATTTAAACAGGGTGCTCGGCAAATGTTATTCTGTTTAGCTTAACCATCATTAGTCAAAAGTGACGAGGAATACACATCTTTCAATAGATGTAAGATTTAACTTTGCATCCACTCAGTACAACAACAAAATGCTTAGTTTTAGTGTTTTAGTAGTCGCCCATGTACGGGTCTCATCTCATATAAGCAATAGTAATATCAAGCACAAAAATGCTTTGCTACTCAAATAAACAAAGAGCTGCCAGCAAAAGAAGATCCAATTCACATGCTAATCATCATCGATTTCCATTGGAAACGTCAGTTTGAGTGCAAGAGTATGGATCGCGAATCAGCATCTTTTATAAATGTAATGTGTTGGTTTTTCTGAGCCTCTCACTTTGTGCTTGTCGTTTTCGCTTTAGATCACCCCGACCTGAAAAACCTTGATCAGATTTTAGTGAAACAGAGTCACACTGCCGTGGTTACGTTCATACTGGAGTCTGTCAAACTAAACACGGACAAGTCAACGCTAAGGTGACTATAACTTCACGGAGCTCATGGCTCTGTATAAAATGTAAAAATTGTCTTTACAGTGACGTCGAAGTCGGATTCTTGTCTAGGCTACTCTAAGCAAATCGCAAAATCAAATAACACCTGCGAATATCAGTAAATAAAAAGTGAATAAGTGGCTTATGTAAAAAAAAGAAAGAAAAAAAGATGGATATTTTGATTTCAAGTCGTCTGTTATGTCTACATCTATTTTTTAAGTTAAATAAAAATATTTGGACTTTGTTTTAAAGTTTGTTTGTTTGTTTGTTTGTTTTAAAGAATTTTCTTTCTCATCTAAATGAAAATAGATTCCTTATTTATGGACATAAATGGATCCCAAAAAATGCTGCCTGTTGTCACAATAATTTTGTGATTCATTATCATGTGTACTTGTTTTGTAATACTGTTTCACTGCTTTGTTGCAGTTCATGTCTTGAAGAACTTTCATTCAGTGCAGAGAAAATAGAGCTCTTTCATAGTCTATATGAGGTGAGGGTGGCAAAAATAAACAGTAACTTTGGCAGGGTTGTCAAGTCCATAATAATAACGTGCTGTTGTTTTACAGAAGCATAAAACAGACATTATAAAGTTATTATCATGGTAAGTTGAAGCAATAAAAATCTGTTTTTATATGTTGCCATAAATTGACTACATATTCTCCAAAGAAAGAGATTATTGCTTGACAACATTTGTGGAATAAGACAGACTACACTAAACTTGTATGCATGTATTCTTTCTTTAGCATAGGAAGACGACTACCTGAGATAAACGATGTCTCATGGCGTCTACAATACCAGATAAAGGTAGCCCAAATGTCTGACTTCAGTTTTGTTTTTAAAAGTTAAACTTTTTTTTCCCCCCTCCAGAGTGCGCAGGTTGATAAAGTCGATGAACCTTTCTACTTGATAACCCTGAGCACTGAGGTAAACGTGCAATGATATTCTCGCAGCGTTCATATTGGCTTCAAATAATAATATTTTGTCACTAGAATGAAACAGGATCCTCTGAGGACGTGAACTTCTCCTGTACAGTGGAACAGCTGCAGGTATCTCCGCTTAAAGTGTGAAAATAATTACTGTTCCGTTTATAAAGGCTAGCCGCCGTGATACCAGCTTCTTCCCAATGCACTCACAATGCATTTCGAACTTTGATGTGGCACCGTAATAGTTTGGCTTTTTAATCTTTGTAGCTCGTTTATTTCACAGTCATATATTGTCTGTAATGATTATCAGTTGTTGTCTCATGGTGTACTTGGAGCTTTTTGCACGTTTTTCCAATGTGTTTTTTAACTACAAATGGCAACTAAACTAACCTTAAACTAACCTAAACGTAACCCAAAGGAAGCAAGACTTTTGATTATTTTCGTATCTTGTTATACGTCCTGTAAGTCTTAACCAATCAAGGTGAGGTAGAAAAAACGTGTCCAGCGGACAAAATGGGTACGTCTGTAGCCTATTGCATTAATTTGTTTGTTTTGTATGTTTGCAGGATTTGGTTGGAAAACTAAAAGATGCAGCAAAGAGTATGGAGAGAGCCAGTCAAATGTGATGCTGCGATCTAAAGCGCACGAGCTATTTTCAGTGACACTTCTTACGACTTTTTGTGACATGTAATGTTTAGATTGATTTATGTAAGACAAAGAAATAAAAGTACAAACAATGCTGTTTATATATCTCTTGTTTTCTTAAAACTTCAGGTAATTTCGGTACATCCTGTTTGGCACAATTAATCAGGTCACTTGAGCGATAGACTTTAATTTATTTTCTAAAACAACGCGAAGCGTATAGCTCTAAAGCCCAACCTCTCAATCTGTTTAGGCTGATGACTTTGTTCCAATAACGTTAAAATGAATTATATAAGTATTCATCGGCTGTCTTCCACGTCAACATATTTGGCCTAAAATATGTGAGTTGGAGCAGTGGTGGTTTGCTGGTTTTATTTTAACTGAATGGAGTAAGAAAGAATAAGTGGCCATACCTGACAATTTGGGGCTGTGACAAAGTAGTAGTACGTTTGGTAAATGTCTACAAGGCAATTCGCTGTTAAGCAATAGCACAACCACTAAATGAATCCACATTTGTTTTCTCATTACCGATTCTTCAGCTGTTAACGGAATAAGCTAGAATAAAATGTGGTAACGTCTTTGAAACTCATACTCTCATAAGTATACGTCGTTCATCAAGGTGCATAGATGAAGATGTAATGATGGGTTATTTCTCAACATAAGTAGTAAAAAAAGATGAACAGCATACACCGACAAGAATTCCAAGGCACCCTTAAGCTGGAAAACCACGTGACCACTGCGGGGCGGTCGAACTACAAGCCATTTTGGGGACGGTGTCAGTTTCCACTGAGCACACACACTGCTGCGTTTTACTGGGGGTGAAGCGGTTATTTTGGAGGCAAAGTTGACGGCGCCAGAGCGAAAACTTACCGAGTCGTAATCCGCGATTTGAGTTCTTGTTGAGTCAAGAATAAGATCTGCATAAGGGGCGTAAGCAGCAAGAAACGACTTATTCTCACATCTGAAATGCCTTTCGCTCCGCGGAGCGCTCTTCGCGACTGACAGCGTCTGCAGCCTTCAAGATGGCGGCTCGACTCCTATTCATTTGCTGCTGATCGCTTCCCAACTTTCATTGTCTATTCACCTTCAGACCCACCGATCCCAAATCGAACCACCAGGTAAGCCTTCGACAACATCTCCAACTAAACGATGAAAAGCGCGATGCTTCAGCGTGGCGTTATTGTGTGTTTGCACGCCCTGATTCAGTGGAGACTGGAGAGCTTCGAGAGGTAGCTGCGGCTATTACCGACGTGGAGCTCTCTGTCTGCACCGCTTCAGCAAAACATGTTCTCACGGGAGCATAACAGAATATTTTGATCTGCGATCTTTGGTGGCCATTAGGTTAAGGTCTAAGGATGCAGCCCATTAAGTTTGAGCTAAGATGGTATGTCCAGTTCATTGCAAGGATTTATGCAAAAGTAAAAATCCCGGGCGAGCGGGACCGAATTGTCTCAGATTAAGCTACAGCAAGTTCTTCTAACGCTCTTTACCAACAAACTATCCCATTAAACGATGTCATTTTATAGAACCGTAAAGTTTGTGTTCTTACTAACCTCGAGAAACCATTTTTTTGTGCCTTTAGAATTATATGACGGACTTTTAAACTAAACTTGGGCTGCTATCAGTGAGACAATAGACACCCAATGCAGTGTATCTACGTAAAATTTAACAAATCATTGGTTTAAAGGATTCACCAATGAATACAATGCAACATGGGTCTAAATGCAATTATAAGTTGTTAATTGTATGTTCTGTCATTTTATCTTTAAACATGTTGTTTGACTCGCTCCTGAAGCAGTTGCCTGGAAGACTCCCCATTTTACGTTTACTTTGATCATTGCTATATGGCCATTAGGTTTATGCATTTTTTGCTGGTTATGCATGTGTTTTAACTGTGCTTATCTGTACAGCAGTTCCATCTGCTAAGAGTTTATCAGGAGCCTTCTAATTGAAAGTCATGAGTCGATGTTTGGCTCTTGATATGCTTTGCCTGGTATCCTGTGATTTTTATTTTTTTTTAATTGAATGTAAGCGTTCTTTCAGGCAGAAATTCGCATATAAACAAGTGTTCTTTAACTCACTAGAAAGGACCACACTCTAAGGTGATCCACTGTATTTCACTGCCTCTGTTTTTAAAAGTCCATTAATCCCAAAACTGAAGTTGGTTGTTACTGTTCCTGATATTTTTTTTTGTCTAAAACTAACACTAAATAGGTCCATGCGTGCTTATCGAGAGCCATCAAATCAAACCCATCCTTCAACTATTGATTAATGTGATAATCTGTGATGGTAACTCATAGTCCACGTTTATGAAGTGTGACGTTGTACCAATCTTACTCTTTTTTTGGAAATATTTCATAATGAACGCACAGAAAACTACATTTAGTTTTTCCTCGCCAGAGGTTCGACATATGACTGCTTGTCATTATGCCATTGGAGAAGAGCATTCTTTTTTTTTTTTTTTTTTTTTAATACATTGGTCACAAGTGCAAAGGCTATTGGTGCTTCGTTATTGTGATCAGTGTTTGTCGGGGGGAAAGAGAGACTGCTTAAGACTCGGTACAACTTGGCTGTCATCCAGTTAAAAAGCGTTATCTTATAGCCTCTATGTCCACGGCAGTTGACTCAAGGTGTTAAAGCGATAATAAGGCCATGCATATTCATTGGACTTAGCTTTACACGTTTGTTTTGAGAAGAGTGAAATTTAAGGTTTGACGCTTTTTGTTTACTTTTGATTATTTTTTGGATCGTGACTGCAGTGAGTTGGCGTTGATGAGTAAAATAACTAAAGCTCGTCTATCGATGTCCGCTTTGGCACAGAGCTAACAAGCAAGATAACATGCGCTCGAAATGTGTGCAGCAGTCGCTTCTGTCTAGCCATGTTGCTGCTGCACAGCGCTGCTGGCTGTAGTCAACACACGCCATGAAGAACGGTATGAACGAAAATAACTCCGAGATCATCGTGAGAGGTGGATGAGCCCGCTCTCATGCGCGAGTAAGAGCATTATTATAAGTCGGACGTGTTTTGTTCACCCCTTGGGCTGAAGGGGAAAGCACACAGCCCGTTATTGCTTGATTTTTCAGCCACAAAATGGCAGCCGTGTTGTCGGATGCCTGGCAATCCACCTCTGTGCGCGGAGAGCGATCCGCGGTTTCATGCGCTTGCACACAGTTCCATGAGGGGCTACCCGTGCTGTTGTTTGGGTTTGCAGTCCTGCCTCACTACCGTCCACTGGAGTCCAGCCATGTGACAAAAAGCAAACGGGTTGCCATAGAAACCCAAGGGTTTCCAGTTGTATCCGTGGCACACCTGACACGTAGTCCGTCCGTCCTATAAAAGATCGTTTTCAACCGGGAGCGTAGCATCGCGTCAATAATATAACCCCCCACCCGTTACACGTTCGCATGTTAAGTAATCAATTATGTTCCCGAAATGTGTGCTTTCCTGTTGAAATTCTTTGGAAAGACTAGCAGGTATAGAGTCCTTAATTACTTTTAAGCCTGGTGTCCAGTGCCCAGTGACATGAACCCATAGATGGATTTAAAACTTTACAGTAGTAACAGATGCGCGGCTCACCAGATCTGATTGAGTGGGGATGATTTATGGACATTTTCTGAGCTCCCAGCGCAAACTCGCAACCCTTTGGCTCCGCAGAATTAGCATAAATGATTATATTTTAAGACTCCAGAACAAATGGCCATCACAAATGGTTTACAGTTGTGCTTTCAAACTTGATTTGCGACAGTTTAACGCTTTCCATATTTTTTTCTGCAGGGCTATTGCATTTCTGGTCAACATGCATCGGACGACTCGAATAAAAATTACGGAGCTCAATCCTCACCTGATGTGCGTTCTGTGCGGGGGATATTTCATCGATGCCACGACCATCATTGAATGTCTTCACTCCTGTAAGCAACACGTTTTTATTGATGTAGCTGTACTATGAATGTAACCTTACTTTCTGCCCTTTGGTTCTAGTCTGCAAAATGTGCATAGTGCGCTACTTGGAAACCAGCAAATACTGTCCCATCTGTGATGTACAGGTGCACAAGACCAAGCCATTGCTCAACATAAGGTAAGATTTTTTGGAACATGATCTTATAATTGTTGCTGTATTTTGTCCAAAATCCATCTATAACTGCAACCACATTCATTTCAGCTTAAACCTACTTTTTTTGTTTGAAGGTCTGACAAGACTCTACAGGACATAGTGTACAAACTGGTCCCTGGACTCTTCAAAAGTAAGACTTTGAGTGCATTTGTCACGTTCAAAGATTCAAAGTACCATTGACTGATAAAATGACACATGACAAATGTTTCAAATAAGATTTGTATCGGATTTACAAGCTTTTTAACCTGGTTAATGTTCTAATCTTAATTCTTGAACAATTTAAGATGAAATGAAGAGAAGAAGAGACTTTTATGCAGACCACCCTTTAGATGGTGAGTCTTCAAGTTGAAGCTAAAAAAGTTGTGCTATAAGTCAAGTTTCTAAATTGATGAAAAAAATTATTTATTTGTTTTCTTAAAGCTTCAAACGGAACAAATGAGGACCGTGGAGAAGTGGCAGATGAGGAAAAACGAATTATTACAGACGATGAGATCATCAGCCTCTCCATTGAATTTTTTGACCCAACCAGGTACACTTTGACATAACTGCAGGGAATAATTCTTAATTCCTGGAAGTTTTTTCGTTTTGCATTTAAGGAAAAGATCATAGTTGTATCCAAGTTTTCCACAACCTTTTGAAGTCTAAGGCTGCAACAGTAAATCAAAAAAATCTATTAATATTGGCCACACATGGCAAAAGACCTTTTATGAGAAAGACAGCAGCATTACAGTTTTTATAAATATTGTCAATCTTGAAGCATTCAGTCACCATATTTAAACCTTTTAAATATGGTTATTAATGTAATTAAAAATCTCAGTGTACACTAGAAAAACTGGTTTGACAGTAATTGCTTTTTGAAGCCAAAATATGTTCATGTCTTAATTTGTCTGCACAGAATGGGAATGGGACCAGAAGGAAAGCAGGTTAAAGAACAGGTACATTACTTCCATTAAATTTTCATTGAGGAGGAATTTGTGTTTTATTGTATTTTTTTTTTCAATTTATTTAATTGATTTAGGGTGGTATTTAACTGTTCTATATGTAATTGCAGCTAGCAAATAAAAGGTACCTGCAGTGTCCAGCAGCAATGACAGTGATGCATCTTAGAAAGTTTCTCCGCAGTAAAATGGACATCCCAAACTCCTATCAGGTCAGAGACAATATGCTTACTTTCAAGTCCTTTCTCTGTATCGAAAAATATCAATGTGTTTATATTTTTCAGTTTAATTGTCGGCAATTATTATCATGGCACATTTTTAACAGGTGGATGTTATGTATGAAGATGAGCCTCTGAAAGATTACTACACATTAATGGACATAGCCTATATATACACATGGAGAAGGGTAAGAATCACTATTTTATGATATCCAAAATATTGTGCTATGTAATCAAATATTGTTTTATTTAATAATTAAACCTTTTTAAGTGCTATGGTATTCCAACCAATGGTGTTATTATTTGTGCTGTTCCTGATGTATTGAATAAATTCTAAATGTGTTCAAATAGGTATCAGTGTCATAATGCAGTCAAAGCTCTCAGTGAGAAATAACTTTCCACTATTTCCTAAGTCTTTTTTTTATGTTTTTATTGTCATTGTCAATGAAGCTAGACCAAATTGTTAAGCAGTTTTTAAAAGTTTTAACTCGCCTCCACAGAATGGTCCGCTTCCCCTCAAGTATCGGGTCAGACCCAGCTGTAAGAAGATGAAGGTGAGTCACTCGGAGCAGGACGGGCAGAACAGCACCGGCAGATCGGGGCCAGAGAGTGACTCTGCCAGCGACAAAGCGCGTAGTCCCACCGGGGCTCCGTCCACGTCCTCTTCTCTGCCGAGTCCCGCTACAGCGACGCAGTCTCCGCGTCCCCTGCAGACCACGCACGGCAATAACAACGTGAACGGGACGTCAATAACTGCACCACCCGCCCCCAGCCGCTCTTTTACACAGTTTCCCAGCGGGAACAGCGGCGCCAACAAACCGAGGAAGGTTGCACTGAACGGATCGTCTTCTGGATGACTCCCCGAAGAGTCGTCGCCTGATCCAGTTTATAATTTTATGCCAACCTATACAGCGGTGTAGACAACGATGTTCTTTTTCCCCCCCTCAATTTGTTGTTAATATATTATCACATCTTAAGTTTATACTGGAGGGATCGGATACATTTCAAAATAAACAATTTAAGGACGTTTTTTACTGTTGGAAATTCAAAATCAAAGACTGTAAAAACTGAAAAAAACATGGGAAGAAAGGATGAGCAAAGCTGTTATTTTACAGTGACTGAAGTTCTATTTGTTTTGTTCAAATTAAACGTATGTCATTGCAAATTCATCCATGTGCTTAACAAGCTTAAGATGATACGTGCATGCTTTTGTTATCTCTTGGTTTTTAAAGGTTTTATAGCCTACTCTTTTAATACGCATTTACGTAATCTTTAGAAATCTTAAACGTAGAGGAAAGCCATTAAGGAATTTGTATTATGAGAGAACTTGTACAGGGAGGTTTGCGTCAAGACGGTTAAAAATGAGGCTTTTATGCGAGAAAAGTTTGCCTTCACATCAGCAGTGCTTTGTAAAATTTGATTTTTATCCATGTTGTTTTAGCTGATTTTCAAAAACCAGCTGTTAAAAAAAAAAAAAAAAAAAAAAAAAAAAAAACACACACACACAAAACAAAAAAACCAACAACTATTATTTAATCATGTTATTCTTTTCTTCTGTTCTCAAAGACTGGGGCTGCTCAGTTTCATATTCATTCTGATGTTTTAATGTCTCTCGTGTTTATTCGCTCGATTGTATGGACAACCTGTTGTATTGTTACTGTTGCACAGTATAAAAACATCTAAATAAACATTTTACACGTATGCTTTCCTGAATATGGAAAAAATATTAAAACCAATGACTTGCATGCAAAAGTCAAACGCGGAGAGCCAACGCCATGATGGCGTCCTAACATTTAACGTTAGATTTCTTTTCTCCCGCTAAAGAATTTAATTGAAGAAAAAAAAAAAAAAGGAGTTCAACTAATATGACGTTAAATCTTTTTAAAATGGTGTAACTTTGCATTACCTGAGAAAGACGGGCGTTGGGCAAAAGGCAGCTTTAGCAAGGCAAGGCTTTTCATAGCATTACTGATTTAGCCAACTGCAAAATAATAACACACTGAACAAGCTAGCCCTATAATATAGCAACAAAAACTGTTTTAACGATACAATAAAATTTTACATGTTGGTCAGTCCAAATGTTTGTTAGTTGTACTTGACTATCTACGTGGAAAGCAAATAGCTAGACAGCATGTTTATGTTGGCTAACATTGGAAACCCAAGCGATACTCAAACTGACCAAATTATTCAATTTAGCCTAAACCGGCAATTGACCAAAGTATACCAGCTTTCCCCAGACTTTAGACTGATTTTGAAGAATAAATAAAAATAAATAAAAATTTAAATCAGACAAACCTTTGTAGCAAGGTGAAGTTTCCACAAATTTGAAATGGCAAAAAAAAAAAAAAAAAAAAAAAAAAGAAAAAAAAATCAACGAAGAAGTAAGATGCGCGCGAAACGGGAAATTAGCTGACATTTGTTTAACAGCTATAATGTTAATAACGTGGTTATGTGTCGGCTTTTGGTCTAAGCGTCTCTCGACCAGTGGCAATGTAATGGCAAACACACACACACGTTAAATACAGCACAAATCTTAGCATGATACTTGTAATGTTAATCAACAGTTACATCAACAGAGCAAGAATGAAAGGCAAAATAGATGGCCATAGCACCTGATATCGGCGTCTGCATCACATGATGACCGCTGATCAGCCCTCAGACTCTCATCCTCACAAAACACGATCTTTGGGGAGACTGCCGCTGCCAGGAGGTTACCATGGCAACAAGTAACAACAACACAAGCCGACTCAAACCGACGCAAACCGAGCTGCACGGCTTCATCTGGATCTGTCAACCGCTTCAGACTGCGTGGGGAAATTAGTCCAAAATAAGTAATAAACAATGAGTCAACGACAAATAATTCAAGGTAAGAAACGCTGCGTTTGATTGGCACCCCAAAGTTAACTATTGGTCCAGTAGGCTAACTAACAAAAAGGCTAGCAACTGGCATAAATGTTGGGTATAATTTACTTAACGTTAGCTGTTTCAGTAATATATTCATAGATTAGATAATTAATACACAAAATTGCAGGAATGTAGTAGTGTAATGCATTACAGTGAAAACTGTATGCTAATAAAATTAGTTACTGTCAAATACGTGGATACTTGTGACACCAGCAACAATGCCTGGGAAGAGAGCGTAACATTCCTCTGCAAATATAGCGTTAAGCTTAAACAAGGAGCTCACAGAATGCGCTAAAAAGGAGGAAAACCCCTAGACATTATTTATGCTGTCGTAGTGCTACCTCCAAGTCATACGCAGATTATCGCAACATAGTGCAGATGTTACCTATTGTGTAGTTAGCCAGTCCTGTTTTTGAGGTTATACCATTTGAACAGCTCATTTGTTGTTTACCTCTTTCACTGTCTTTAAATAGGTTATGACAGCATTTATGTAATGCATAAAATACTTAGATAATAATATGTAATGTAAACTACTTTCATGAGGTAGTACCTAGTTTTACTGGCAGTACATCATATTATACATTTTTGACCAATTCATTTATTCATTGCTTTCTTGTGTTGTAGTTTTCGAACAGTACCAGAGATCCCGAATGCAATTTGTTCAGACTGTGGCTGATCTTGCAAACCGGCCACAAAACATAGAAATTCTGCAAAATGTGGGTAAGGAACATTCAAACAAAGCTTAAATATAAACATAGGTATTATTTAAATAATTTATTTTAGGATCTTATTTCCCAACAGGTGTGATGTCCTTGCTACGCCCACTTATGCTGGATGTAGTACCTAGTATCCAGCAGACTGCAGCCTTGGCTCTCGGCCGCCTGGCAGACCACAATAATGACCTGGCTGAAGCTGTGGTGAAAGCAGACATCCTCCCCCAACTTGTCAACTCTCTTGATTCACAGAATGTTAGTATGCACTTTTTTTGCATGTCATGGGTATAAGACCAACCAATCAATGATAAAAAAAAAAAAAAGAGAGAGAAATCTAGGGCCCTGGTGCATTTAGACTACATTGCTTTTAAATTAGAAAACTCAACGGTGTCTTGGTTTTCTACAGCGGTTTTACAAAAAGGCAGCAGCGTTTGTGCTGCGGGCTGTAGCCAAAACACTCTCCTGAGCTGGCTGAGGCTGTGGTGTTGTCTGGAGGAGCCAAAGCTCTGGTGCTCTGCCTCGAGGACTTTGACCCCGGGGTGAAGGAGGCAGCTGCCTGGGCTCTGGGCTGCATCGCACGGCACAATGCATGTAAGACATTGTGATGAACAACTAATGAAGTGTATGTAGTATGATTTTGTAACACGTGTATCCTGTGCAGCTCTATCTCAGGCCGTGGTGGATGCAGGTGCAGCTCCTCTGCTGGTCTTGTCTCTCCAGGAGCCTGAAATAGCCCTGAAACGCATCGCTGCCTCTACACTGAGTGACATCTGCAAACACACACCACAACTGGCCCATACAGTGGTGGACACTGGGGCTATTGCACATTTGGCACAAATGATTCTAAATCCAGACGCCAAACTCAAGGTAAAGGTCAGGGCAAACACATTGTTGATGTATTTTATATACACTGATTTTATTTACTACCAGCTCAGTTTACCATTGAATTTGCCTTAAAGGTGGACACATTTAACATGTGCTGTATTGGATTTGACATAATTTTCAACCATAAAAAATACAACTACAATGTGAAAAATGTTTAAAAATCTTTCCACCTGAGTTTATTCTGTTTATGAATCCAGAGACAGGTGTTCTCAGCGTTGAGTCAGATCAGTAAGCACTCCCACAGTCTGGCTGAGATGGTGATTGAGGCGGAGATTTTCCCTGCAGCAATTGCCTGCCTTAAAGACCCAGACGAGTATGTGAGGAAAAACGTCACTACGCTTATGAGAGAGGTAGTCAAGCATACACCAGAGGTACAGCACATGACACACACTATATTACTGGATGCATACATAGACCTGAAAAGGTAATGTGCAGTGTTTATGTAACTTTCCAGCTGGCTCAGTTAATAGTGAACTATGGAAGTCTGGCAACTGTTATAGACTACTTGGGCGAATGCAGTGGACAGATGCGTCTGCCTGGGATCATGATGCTGGGATACATAGCAGCACACAATGAGAATCTAGCTATGGCTGTCATTCTTTCTAAGGTGCGTGTGTGTGTAAAATCTCCTAATCACCATAAGACCAGCGGCATCTAAAAGTGGAGGCATTCTTCGGGGTTTGGTATGTAGGTCATATAAACGGATTGAAACTTAAGTGCGTACCTGCCCTCTCCTCTAGGGGGTGCCTCAGCTTGCCTTATGCCTATCGGAGGAGCCTGAGCATCACATCAAAGCTGCAACAGTGTGGTCCATAAACCAGATTGGACAGCACACTCCAGAGCATGCCAAAGCAGTAGCTATGTGCAGCCTGCTCCCAAAACTATTGAAGCTCTACATGGACCCCAACAGCTCTGAGGACCTGCAGACCAAGGTAAGGCTGAGTGGTTATGATGTTACAAGATAAAAATGACAAATTACTGATATTTGATTCACTTATGTGCATCAGAGTAAGAAAGCACTGAAGAGCATCCTCCAAAAATGCACCTATCTTCCTGGTCTAGAGCCCCTACTCTATGATGCCCCCTCCAATATTCTCAAACATGTGGTTGGCCAATTCAGCAAGGTACAGTATAGAATAAACTCACCCTTTTCTGAATTTAGTTATATTTTCTGAATTATGAAGCCTGTTTTATGCAATACATTTTTCATTAGCCTCCTTGCAAATTATTAAATGGTAAATAAAATAAAATGTCAAATTTTTTTCACTAGAACTATAGCCATTTTATCTTTCTAATCCCAAATCAGATTAAAATGACAACATCAGTTAAAATGAATAACCATAACATGAGAATAACCATCATAAAGTATATTTATAGTATAAAATCTATACAAGTAAATAGTGTACAAATAAATAAAAAAATAATATATATTTTTTCTCAGTTTTCTTACCCTTCTCTTCTCCTGTGGTCTCTCAGATCCTGCCTCATGACAGTAAAGCGCGGCGGCTCTTTGTCACCAGTGGAGGACTGAAGAAAAAGTGCAGGAGATTGATGCAGAGCCCGGGTCAGTTCTACAGGACCACATCAACGCCATTAACAGCTGCTTCCCAGAAGAGATAGTCAGGTGTGTGCACATGTTACTGTTTTAAAATGACATTACTTCAAAATATAAAATAATATATGGAATTTAGTTGTGTTTTTATATGAAGGCTTGTTTTTCTGTTTGCAGATACTACTCTCCTGGATACTCAGAGGCATTACTGGAGCGTCTAGAAAACTATCAACCAGCCTGATTGACACTAGTAAATTTGAACAAAAATAGAAACTTTGATTTCTTTGTATTTAACTATTCATTTAATCAGTTATTTTTTTATACATATATCTTTCTTATGTTATATAATAGAAATAATAATAATATATTAACTCCATACACATACAGGAGGTAGATGCCATTAGATTATTTTTATATTTTAATTAATACTTTTATGAATGAATACCACCTAGATTTTTACACTAACACAATTTTATAGGAATTCTTTGAATCATAAAATCACATTTTGTAGGTATAATATTTTTTAAAAGAAATAAAATGCAATAGTAATCAATGCATGTTTTTTTTTCTCTTTCAAAAAAACAAAGATACACAAACGTATAGGGTATTATTTTTACTATCTTTGTAAACACCTTTTTCATTTTAACTGTGTTTGCTTTCCATAAAATATCTTTTTTTTTTTACTATACACATTAAAAAGTAATTCTAAAAGGTTTCAGAGTTCAAAAGTGTGTAGGACAATGCTATAGTCTGTTTTTAACAGCTATTGACCCCTCACAGCCCCAGTGTGGCAGTGCCATTTAAGCTGCTGCCTGCCATAAAGAGGTCAAAGGTCAAAGGTCAAGTTCAGAGACAGCGCAAGACACTTTACTAAGTGTTAATCAGTACTTCCACATCCATTTTAAAGTCTCTAAAACACATGAGCTGTTGCCAGTTGTACGTTTATTGCCGCTTGTCGTTTTGCTAGACATTTTATGTTTTAAAAGCGTCTCATTAATATTTTTTTGCTTAAATATTGGAGCAGTATAAAATGTAGCTCGTATAATAAAATACCATAGAGCAGATCAGTCAAACCACGGGCTGAGTGATAAAACAGCCCGCTGCAGTGGCGAGAACACGGCGCTGGACGATGAGGGTTTAATCTCGTGATCTGCACCGACCCCTGGCGGTTAGAGTCTGATACTGCAAATGTGCGCTTTATAAACCGGCGCGCGCGTGAGGCAGCTGCGGCGCATGTGGCACGCGGGGCTCCTCGTGAGGGTTTGTCCCCCACAAATACGATGGTAACAAATGCGTGTCAAAATATTACAAATGCAGCCTTCAAAGACGTGTTGAGTTTTACATTTGAGCCCGATCGGTTTCTATATTTAACGGCGTCCAACTGCCAATTTTTAGCCTAATGATCGTTTCAATTTCATTTTTTTAATCGTTGATCTTTTTTTTTTTTTTTTAATGAATGATATAGGTTACTAAAAACAAGAAAGAAAAAACAACATAGAACTACATAACATAGCAAAAGACGTAGGCCCTAAATAGCCCATGGGTTTGATAATTAACCTCATGCGAAGTCTATTCATGTTTTATGGTAAAAATAAATAAATAAATAAAAATACGTATAGTCAGTTTTGACCCTGTGATTTAAAAAGGCTACTTGTATGACATGATCCACTGGATTTATAAATTTAGTTTGATACGCCAGACCGTGCCAAATTGAGCACAGCAGCACGATTACGCACATGTCGTATTTCCAAACGTGAAAAATAATAGGCCTAGACAAAATGAAGAGGAGACGTGAGTTGAGTTAAGCTGAACAAGTGCTTTTATTGGTTTGAGAGAACGCTTATGGAATGGAGTGTATTATCTTTTATCATTACATGTGATGAACAATAAACATACAACATCATTTTGGCCTCTTTGCCACAGAACGGAATTCTCTCAACACCACCAGCCACGTCAAACACTCGCACATACACACGCACACAGATAACATAAGCTGGGGACATTTGGGAACCCCACAGGGCACTTCAGCTGCTGGTTTAGGCCTGCATCTCTCCAATTCATATATTTTATGCTACAATGTGGTTAATAAGGCCATACCCAGACCTGCAGTTCCATATGTGGCTTCCAAAAAGTAGAATGAATTTCCATTAAAACTAAACGTCTGTCTGTGATAGCTTGTTACTGTAGACATGTTCACATGAAAGGGATGCAGGAGGTGTCATTTTACCCAGAAAGTTAAAAGTTGAAATATACAATACACACTGTTCATTCGGCTCATAGTGAGACAATTTGTGGGTACTTTTGTTTTGGCAGGTTTTGTGGCAACAGGTTGACAACAAAGACTATGGTGACAGAGCACACAGTCACAAAAAAGCTTGGTTTTGTATGTACAGCAGCAAAAACATTGTGTAGCATTTCATTTGTTAAGTATGGACTTCCCCTCCCATTTGCTTCCAGAATATAACTAAAAATAACCATTGAGTGTTTTGCCAAGTGAGCGTACAAAGCATGTGTAATCATGTATTTTTCAACTGTGACAAGAGAAGCTACAACCAGTAAAGCAGTGCAGCATGTGAACCAACTAACCACTGATTTTGCGAGACGAATGGGGAAAAAAAACATTCACATCAAGTCAAGACATTACAACCATTAACAAAAAAAATAAAGAAATGTACGGCTGCATTTGTTGTCAGCCAGCTAAAAGAAATGGCAACAAATCCCTTAAAATGGTTAGTTTGGAAAATACAAACACAGTAAAAAATAAAATAAAGTAAAACAACTACAACACTCACACTCCACAAGTTCAGACAAAGGCAGGACTAGCATCAACAAAACATGATTAATAATATTAATATGTCTTGACCGGGGGGCCTCAACACATTTAATATTTCAATTTTACAAGCCGCCAATCTCCAAAAAGCTATTTGTTTTAACAATCATTATCAGTATGGTATTATTCTACTGACACGACAACAAATATACATAGGAGCAAAAGAACGAAAACGGCACAAAAAGGGAAAAAAAAGAGAAAACTTTAAAAATAACATTTATCTTTGTTTTAAAAAAAGAAGTAGAAAATTAAATAATTTTGGAGTATAAAGGCACACATGTTGCACAGTGTATACAATGAAAACAGTTATTTAAAGCGTGGTATAGAGAATAATTAACAACACGTGGACATCTGAACAACAACCAGAAATAGGGCAAAAAGCACATGCATTTTTTAATATTTTTTTGTTTTGTTTACACCTATATTAAGCTGTAAAAATTCAAACTTCATTGAACACAGCACAAACACTCATCCAGAAAAGTGGCTCCTTTTTAAATAGAATTATATTAATGACCAATGTAAAAATATAAATGTGAATATATTTTTTATACATCTAAACATATTATAATGGAAGCTTTTTGAATAAACAGTCAATGAAAAGTGATTATTTGTTTTAGTTGGTTATCGGGCATTGATACACAACATCAGTCACACACACTCACACAAGTATATTGCATTTCCCTTGTTAAGACCGTATCAACTCGTCAAGATCTTATTCGTAACATTTGGTTCCTTTTCCTATTGTGCAAAATATACATAAAATATAATGAACAGAAAAACACAGACATTTTACCATATAAATTCATTAACTGCCAAATTCCAAACACAGGTAAAACCACTGTAAAATGACATCAAAAACACACAATGAAAAAACAAGATGTGAGGTTAGAGAAGTTGACGGCGTTAGTAAATGACCTGCAAAGATTTTTAAAAACATTCCTCCTCCTCCATTTTGAACACTGACGCACACACCAACTAGAACTACCGTGTGTGTGCTGGTACGATGCCGGAGGTAAACTTCAGCCCTGAAATTACATGCATAGTCACCACAGCCTGGTGTCAAAGTCAAAAGGTTTTAAAGCAGGCTTGTAACGTAACAGTACTGTGCAAGTTTAGAGAGGTGTAAAATGCTCTGATGAAGACTGACTTTTAAAATAATTAGTAAAAGAAAAAAAAAAAAAGATTTTTTTTTGGTAAATTTAAAATGCATTACAATTTTACGTCTGTTTAAATTAATGCTTGAATGGATTTGAAACAATTTTGAATAGTGTAATATTTTTTATTTGTTTGAGTAATTTTCCACTCTTGTGAAAAATGTGTGTTTTGTGGGACAGTGAATCAATGGATTTTTTGCCTGTTATCTATTTTTTTTTTTTTTTTTTTTTTAAGATTTTGAGATCACTTGGAAATGTTGTAATAGATAAAGATAGATTTTTGTCATCTTTACTTTCATACACCTACTGTATATTTAATAGCCCTCTCTTGACTTTTGCACAGTGCTGTTTTTCTAAGAGCTGTTTGCCTTTTTGTTGCAGCGCATGTAACAGAACAAGGACTCCTAACCTCTAACAACAAAAGAAAGTGCAAATGTTTGATTCGTAAGGTGCTGATGGCAAAAGAAAGAGCTGCTGATGATTGGATGAGGACTTAGCCACGGAAAGCCCTGGACATCTGCCACACAAAGGTTGGGTTTGACAACTACTGAACATCTGAGCACAACTAAAAGCGATCCCTCTTTGACTGATGTAAACATGTACTGTAAATCTTTAAACAATTTGTAAAACACGGTGCAAAAACAACAGGTGCAGCAAGTGCTTACAAATAAATTACAATTCGAGGAAAGATTATTGAAAGTGAATGTGGCAAGATGAATCCAGGCTCAATTACAAAAGTAAAGGTATAAATGGGAAGATTTGTTTTGGCTGAGCTCTTTGAGTATTTTTGGATTGGGGGAAGTGGCTGTTGGCCTATTGGAAGACTGCCTCCCTGAAACGAAGCGTTGCATTTCGTAAACGTTTTAAAATCACGCTCAAGCCACGTCTCACATGTGCGAAGCTCCCCTAAACAACCTCCCCTGAACGAACAGAAAAGCACATTAACATACTGTATAAACCATAAAACCAAGGGAACTGGATGTTACAAATTTAAAAAGCTACTATATTCCCACATAAACTGACAATTGCATACAAACGCATAAAAAATGCACAATGACTTGGACACTTGCTTGTAACACCCTTATTCTCCAAAGTAACATGAACAAACTTAACAGAGAGCAGGTTACATGTAAACTGATGATGGTTTTAGCTGCAGAGTGTGATATTCCTTTGAAAGGGACCAGACCACCAGGGAGGGGAGTGCATATCACAGTAAACCCACTGCCCTGCCAGTCTGCCCCCTCCCTGTGGCTCTGTGCACACAGAGGCTATGATAGGATGGTGGTGATGAAATCATAAAACCTCTTGGAGTACTGCTCAGGGTTCACTGTGGAAATCTCTGCTCCAGCCTGAACACAGACATAGGCACGGAAGTCAAGGAAACAGTCATAAGGGTCATATTATCTCACTTCTATAATATAATCCATAATTTCCTTTAGTCCTAATATACAAATATCCTGCCAGTTCTACACTCACGCAATCATATATATCATATAATCGTATTTACAGAGCTGTTAAAGTTTATTTCTTCAGTGCTGAAATCTAGTTAACAAAAAAAAAAAAGATTAAGTAATGTGCAGCTAAAATCAAATGATATTAAAGTCTGGTAATATTTCTTTATTGTTGCAAAGGCAATGTCTGAACCATCATGCAACCAAGTGAAAAGAAGTTACATAAAAGATTATTAATTATTAATTGGTGCATTTTTCACAGCAGCTTTTAGTTACTTACCCCGTGTTTGACAGTCTTTGCAGCGTGAGCGGCTTTCTTCTTGGCATCATAATGTTGTAGGATATCAATGATGGCCATGAAATAAATCTCCTTCCTGGGCGCGCCTGCTAAGCATGGGCAGAGTTAATGACAGTTTGTCCAGCAGAGGGAGCTGTTAGTATGAGAACGCTCCAGTTAACTAGTGTTATATAAACAGGTTCTTACTGTCAGTGCTTTTGATGGCATAAACATCTATGGCTGGGTCAAATTCTCCTGGCCCTAGTGGCTTGGTGCTGTCTAGAGTGTTACTGGGACTGTCTGGAGGGGTCCCGATACCTCCTCCATCACTCTCTCCCTCCTCCTCTGCCTCATTATCCTCACTCTCCACCTCCTCCTGCTCCGCACGCTCCACATCATGGATCCCCACCAGCAGACTGTAGTCCATGAGCTTCAGCTGGGCCAGGAACTGTGTTAGCAAACAGACAAACAAGCTAAAGTACAAAACAAACTGTTCCCATAGGAATACATAACACACAACACATCGCACCTCCACATCCTTCTTTAGCTTTTCCAGGAACATCTTCTTGTTTTCTCCATCAATGTAGATCTTCATACCATCATTGATGAAGTCATTGTCCTTGTAGGTGGGCAACTCCTTTGCCTGCCCATTAGTGTACAAAATTAGCACTCAAAAAAAATAAATTTGATACCACACAAACTAGAGCTGTGTATAGACAGCAACCATTATAAATTTATGCGATTCATGGATCAACATTTGAGCCCAATTTGAATAAAACAAACGACATCACTTTTCTGCCCCTAAATACAAAACTGACACATTTTTGTAAGTTTTCTTAATATTAAACAGTTCATCCTGAATCAAAGGCTTTAAAGGGTATTTCAAAATGCCCTGCTCGGTGTTGTTGTCTTGGCCAGATATATGAGCACGTTGAAACACCCCATTAGCAGAAATGTCTCTTACCTGTGGTTAGACAAGCCGTGTTCAGCCAAATATAATGAAGCTCATTTATCGCCCACAGGAAGTTAGACAACTACACAAAGCTCTAGTCCGAACTCAAGCTTCTTTGCCCACTGTACCGTACACTTCATGCAGCATGCTCAGTGTAAAGATCCGTCCAATGCATCATGTCTTACATAGCTGCTAAAGCTGTGCAAGCAGTTAATAATGCTAATGCTAAAGATGACTTTCTGTTTAGAGACACAGGCTCATAGCCATTAAAGATTACAGTTATGTTTCTGTTTCTATTCTGTTTTAAATGCATGTAACAGATCCATACACTATATATTGTGGTACAAAAAATATAAAACACATGAAATATTTTTGTCATTTGAGCTTAATGATTCCAAAAAGCATTGCAATTCATGGGGAACTGATCAAATATTTAAAACCTTGTAAACAAACAGCTCATATGCTGCTCATATGCTTTTTGAAACCATCTACTCCAGACTACTATTAGCACTAAAGCTCTAGTATATCTTAGGCTTACACTCCAGTAAAACTTTGTAGAAAAGGTCAAATGTTTTTGTAGTACATTTGTTCATGGCAGCACTAGCGACAGCCTATAAGAGAGATGTTACATGAGGTGGGACGGTGCCTGGTTTCAGGTCACTGAGGAACAAGAGGGGGTGAGGTAACGGGCAGCACTTTAGCCGCTACAGCGTTTCTATGGCAGCAGGACTCCACACACAGAGCCAACAGCACACACACAGACACACAACAGCAGACATCGGAGCACATATACAGACATAGATCTCCAGAAATGAGATGGCATTTATTTCAAACAAAAGAGCAACACAAAAATAAATGCAGCCCTGTCGACACTTCACCTGCTCCCACATGTCGCTCACATACATACGCGCAAACACACACGCACGTACACACGCACGTACACACACAAACAGTAACAGCATAACCGCTCGCATTCAGAGAGTCAGGTTATTCTCCTCTATTACAGATGCAGTGGGATGGGTTTGAGTGGAACAAACATGTAAAAATGTATCAGAAAGCTTGTCTTCATTGTGGTATGGAATCGCCTTTGATAGTGCGTGGCAAGTGGTTTGTTTCCCCCAGAAAATACAGTGTAATCCCAAAGACTTGTTTTTGTCTAAAAAATTATCAGAAGACAACCTGACAAATGTTCAACAGCAAGTATTAGGAAGTGTACTCGCTAAATAACACTTTAAAGCACTGACTTTAATAACCAAAAGTGTTAACTGTGGACTGTGAATAACAGTGCATCACCTTCTGGAAGATGTGAAAAGAAAATGATCTGTGCAGAAATCAAAAGAATTGGTTGAATAGATCATGCCTGATACGAGCCCTGGGTCCTTACATCTCTTACGTGTTTCATGGCGCAGTAAAAGCGCGTGGCAATCCGCAGTGTTTGCAGCCTTTGTTGAACGTTACCAGATTTGGGCCGCGGGGGCGCGTCCTCTGGTGGGGGCGGCTGCTAGGAGAGGAGGAGTTAGGGAGGGGCGCAGGAAAGGAGCAGAGGAGAGAAGAGAGGAGGCAGTTGGAAGTAAAGACAAACTGTGGTAAATGTAACTGGACAGTCCTCAGAGAGGAAAGCCTGCATTCCTGTTTAAGTACTTTAAAATATAATATATATAAGTGTGTACAATTCACATCTAATGCAGCCGCAATATCAGCCAGTGTCTCTGTATTTACAGTCAAGATCAAGGAAAACATTTGTCATTTTACTATTAAAATAATCTCTTGGCAGTTTCATGCACTATCTACAAAGGAAACATTTTTGCAAGGCAAGCAGGAGCTGAAAGGGAAAACAAGGAACAATTATTTTTGCTTTAAGTTTTGAAGTCAAAGTATAAGTTCAGTAATGGGATCTGAAACTGTGTCAATACCGCATGTGCATGGAACAAAGTTCTATTTTTGCTACAGACAACGTAAAGCTTCAATGCATTACATTCAGACAATTAAAGCCATTCAAAACAGTCATCAACAAAACATCACCTACAGAAAATAAACCTGGCTTTGAATACAAAACTGATCTGGGCTTTCATTATGATCTGAGAAGAAGGGTGCTGAATTGAAATATTTAGGGAGTAAATACTAGATACACAAATAAATGTTGAGTATTGGTGCAACAGAACAAAAATGGAGGAGAAGCTGGGACTGATACCAATCAGAAAAGTGCCTTAAAAGATGCATCATATATAAAACATGCGGGTGCATGCATGAGAGGGACAGGGCCATGCAATCAGGGAGGAACTGTCTTTATGTTTGTGTTAAATGTGCTTTATTACAGTGCACACTTCAGTCTGACAGGAACATACTTTAACATACTTAAGTTAAATCTCATTGTTGATACAAAACATCCCTGTACATGGCGTTGTAAATGCCTCCTTTGACCAGTAGCTGTGACTGTGGCTTTAGAGCCAAAAGCTGAGCCGCTGTCAGAAAGAGGTCACAGAGTCGGCTCACATGTGTGTGCTAAATCCTCTTCTGCTTTGTTTTCCACTCATCTCCTCTAATCCCAATCATGTTTAATGTCTTCAACCGTTTATAGTAGTCCATATTCTCCCTGAGAAGTCTCCCAAGCTCCAGTGCACGGTGCCCAAAATTCAAGCTCCTTGGACCTTGAGAAAGGCTGTAGCAGACATGTCAATCCAGCATCCACACATGGACATTGGAAACAGCAAGAACTTAGCATCAAAACTCACCATAAACAGAATGTGCCAAGACACTGCTAGTGTAACACTATTCAGATTATTAATGTAATAGAGGACAATGAAGTAGACACTGTCCCAGCAGCCAAAAACAGCCCACATTTCATCACAAACACTTTCCTCAACATTGAACAGAAAACTCCCGCACACATGCACACCAGCAGGGAACAGAGCCACATGTTACCAGCACATTTAAAACTGCTCCTCACTCAGTCCAACAGAAGCACCACTAAGGCAGAAGCAGGAGAGGGGCGGGACAAATGATGAAGAGAGTTATGAAGCTGCGTGCAGGAGGGAGAGAGGGAGGAGGGAGGAGGAAGGGAAGACGCGGAGTGAAGGCGCTAAATGAAAGAGATGGACACTGTCATCAACCCAGAGGCACGTCACTCTTATGTGTTGGAGTGAGACTGGGCAGCGACAGTGAGTCTAGAATCATTTGAACCACTCCAAACAGTTTGTTCTTTCTCTCATGCCCAAAGACGTTATATTTAACTTCATGTAATACAAAACTAGCCTGTATTAAGTCAAAATTTATAAGAGCACAAAGAGCCCTTCACCATTCAATTCAGAAAACAGCCATACCTTCTCCTTGTCACTGGCCTCTCGTGCCACAGTTGAACCCTGAAGAAAAATATTAAAATGTCATTATAGTGGGATACTTCAAAGCTCATTACACACTCTATATGCATCTATGATATATGCATCAAATTAAAAAAAAAAAAAAAACTTTATGCACCTATGATCAAATTAAATACAAAAATAGCATTAGTGTCCTACCTTGAGGTCATATTTCTTGTAGACAGAAAGGCGATGTGAGAAGACATTTCGCGTGACAATCATGTAGGTTTCATCTCCGTCGACTGTGATCCTGTACATCCCCAGAAACTGAGGCAGCAGCGTGTTGCCATGGCATTCAACGATAAACTATAAAAGAGCAATGCTTAACTTTAGCGATAACACAAGTACAGAAGTCTATTTGTGGCGGAGTTTCACCTGGTGGTACTTCTTGAGGATGTTGTGCATCTCAGCCACGTCTTCACTGCTGATGGTCTTGATGACATAGCGTTTGTCGTAGGATGTGTGGAAGCGGGCGCCGCTCCTACCCTGTGCCTCGCTGTTCAGAGGAGCACTACGGGTCAAAGAGTTCTGCATAGAGAGGAACAACAGCACAAATACATTATGATCACCAGGAGGAAGTACAGAATCAGATATACAAAGCTAGTGCTTTGTATATCTGATTCTGTTTAGAGGTTTAGTGTTAAAGGGATAGTTCGGATTTTTTTTTACATTAATCTGTATGGCATCCCCCTCATCAGTGTTGTGCATCCACACCGACTTACCCCCGAAAGCGTCCGGTGAGCCGAGATACTGGCCCGTTTTGGTGCTGAGGAAAGTAGTTCGGCAAGTTGTGTGGGGACTAATCCGTGTATCATTCGTTCATTTGTTTTTCAATATAAAACCAAAAATAAGAAAACGAAAAAACAACAGTTTTCTTCGTTATTTGTCTCCAAAACCAAAATGAAAAAATGGATAACGATTCGTTTTTTCAGTTTTCGATTTTGTGTTTAAATGAAGAATGGAAAAAATGGATAACAGCCGTTTCCCGTTTACGTGACTTCCATGACTGCGATGCCGGACTTTTGCACCGGGTACGGACTGAATTAGGACTGATCCAGGTCCGAGACCAGACCGGGACTAGAGCGGGACCAGAGCAGGACTGGGGCGGACTCCAAGCTTTGACTCTGAGCCTCCGCGGGGTCCAAGCTCCGGCCCTGCCGTGGGCTCTGAGCCTCCGCTCTGGTCTCGGTCTTGTCTCGGTCTTGTCTCTGTCTCAGGCCCGCTCTGGTCCCGGTCTGGTCCCGGACCTGGTCCATTTGAACCAAAAGCTCTTAATTCGGTTCGTTTTCGTTGGTGTGAAAGCGTCAGTTTGATGCTTTGCACCACCTCAGAACCAGCCGCGGTTCTTGAGCGCGGAGGACTGGAGCAGCCCGTCCGTACCTGTAGTCCACAAAACATTCTCACTTTCCCCGCACGGAACCAGCGCGGAGACGATGACACGGAACCGGTCAGACCGCTGGTCTCGGTCTCAGTCCCGCTCTGGTCCCGGTCTGTCCCGATCTGGTCTCGGTCTTGTCTCGGTCTCAGTCCCGCTCTAGTCTCGGTCTGGTCTCGGACCTGGATCAGTCCTAGTTCAGTCCGTACGCGGTGCAAAAGTTCGGCATCGCAGTCACTGAAGTCACATAAACGGGAAACGGCTGTTATCCATTTTTTCCATTCTTCATTTAAACACAAAATCGAAAACTGAAAAAACGAATCATTATCCGTTTTTTCATTTTGGTTTTGGAGACAAATAACGAAGAAAACTGTTGTTTTTTCGTTTTCTTATTTTTGGTTTTATATTGAAAAACGAATGAACGAATGATACATGGATTGGGGGACTTTATACTAAAGCGTTTTTCTTCTCAAAGCAATATTTGTTCAAAAGAGTGCTACATTTCCATCACAAAACCATCGTCGCCAAAAAAGTCAGATCTCATAATCGCTTGGCGCTATTTTCTCTCCGTACGTACCACTGCGCGCGGCCGCCAGGTGACAGCCGCGCACCGATCCATCACTTTCTTCAGTTGTTTACATGCGCAGACCGCCGCCACGCGAGAGAGCTAACGAGAGCTAGAGCCATAAGTATATAAGCCTGGTTCACTTTGTTTACTGCTCGGAATGTTAGCGACAACATGTCTGATTATGACACCAACAATAAAGACTTTGCCTTTACCACAAACCCAAGGGGAGATCTTTGTGAACACGAATATACTGATGCTGAATTTCACCAGACGGAGTTAGAACGGGCAGAGAGAGAGAGAGAAAAGACAGAGAAGTGGTACAAGTTGAAGCTGGAGCCGTGAGAGACCGAGTGAGCGACAATCACCATCACGTCATTTATAAACTCGTATACAGCGAACATAGAGCCTACACTGTGACTGAAGTATGGACTACTAACAGAAACAGAATCATTCACACGTCCACGTAGCTGCTGCCAACAGCGTACGCGACATTTACAATAGTAATAACAGTCGACTTATAAAGTTACGTTTTGTAGAAGCTTCACTGGTGATATGACACTGAGTGATTTACTGTACACAGAGTTACAGCTGATTCCTGAACCTGTTCTCTTGTAAACGTAGCGGCACTTCTTCGTTCTTACCTGGTTTGGTTTCCACATTGAAGCCAAAGGCAAGAAGCCAAAGTTTCCTCAGCGCAAAGTCCGTGACAGGAAAACAGTGAATATGCGTGGAGATTCAGCCAGATTTTTGTTGTTACAGCCTGGATAATCAAGAGTTCGCACCATTTTTTAGATATATTCATATGTATCTTATACAAGCTTATATACTTATGGCTCTAGCTCTCTCGTTAGCTCTCTCGCGTGGCGGCGGTCTGCGCATGTAAACACTGCCGAACAACTGAAGAAAGTGATGGATCCATGCGCGGCTGTCACCTGGCGGCCGCGCGCAGTGGTACGTACGGAGAGAAAATAGCGCCAAGCGATTATGAGATCTGACTTTTTTGGCGACGATGGTTTTGTGATGGAAATGTAGCACTCTTTTGAACAAATATTGCTTTGAGAAGAAAAACGCTTTAGTATACAGTCCCCACACAACTTGCCGAACTACTTTCCTCAGCACCAAAACGGGCCAGTATCTCGGCTCACCGGACGCTTTCGGGGGTAAGTCGGTGTGAATGCACAACACTGATGAGGGGGATGCCATACAGATTTATGTCAAAAAATCCGAACTATCCCTTTAATACATCATCTATGCCATCTATTGCACTGTCTCATGTTGTGGACACTTCTCCAGATCTTGGGCACAGTTCATAATAAGAAGAACCTAACTGATGGTTTGGTCCATTGTACAGAATTTAGGTTCATGTAGGAAACCAGAGAGGCCCCATCGGAATCAGAAATTAAGCAAAAGATGTGTCATTAAAATACAAACTTGTTATTTTTAAGCATTTTTCCAACCAGTTTGTTTGTGTTCAGGTCACAGCACACAGCCAATATATGAAGTTTGACTCATTACACATTAATCAATCAACAAATACATGTGGAATAATTGCTCATGTCAAAATTACACACATGATCATCCCGTCAATCAGGCAGTGTTCTAACATAACTTGAACCTTCTTATCAAGGTCAGACAGCCTTATGCTCCTCACTGTAACCATATGGGGATACGACCTTATGCCCAGAGTGTGTCCAGAGTGTACGCGCACACACGGACACACACACAGACACACACTGGACACATACTGGACACACACACAGACACACACTGGACACACGCACAGACACACACGGACAGCTGCTGCCCAGACCTTAGTTCCAGTTACACGATACATTGGCTAAACCCTAATTCTCCAGGAATGCCTCATGTCCTCTGCCCTTCTCTCAGTCTTAGTCAGTACTTTTTCACCTTAAGATGTGCTGGTAAATGCAGTTATAATTAGAGGTGGTAACATAGGGTCTACAGTGTTGTCGTTTAGATGGTATAAAAAGATTAGAGTACATGAAAACAATTGTGATATTTTTGCACTTTTGTGTTTCACAACTTTCAGATGGAATTTTGCAGCACGCCACCAGTGCCCAAGCTTACTTTTTCATTCACAGATGACACAAAAGCTTTATCATTACTTTATCAGAGCTATTTTTAGCTTAGTCTATACTGGGGCAAAAAATAACGGGTACAGCTCCTTTAAACTTCAGGCATCTTAAAATCATGCATATTTATGGTTTACATAAATACCACCTTTTTATATAATAAATAATATATATTGAGATGACAAAAACAAAAAAATTGTTAATAATGACTACTCCTAATCATATAAGTTATAAAAATGTGCGTCAAAATGGGCCAATTATAGTATGCGTGAGACTAACCACTTAGTAGTCACCACTGAAGTAATAGAAGGCTTATTGACAGGACGGGGACCGCTGAGGCACGCCTTTGAACTGGCCAAAAGTCTTAACACCACCAACTGCCTAGTGACTGCAGCCAGCCCACAGCTAATGTAAACAGGAGGACAGCTGCACTGAGCCCGGACACCATGACCTCCAAATCCTGCCCAGTCACTGCCCGTGCACACACCAGACATCCAAACACATGAATGGACCTTACGGAAAGTGGGAGGGGCCAGGGATATGGGCACACGGCTATAACATATCACAAGTAGATCTTTACGTAAAATCATCGTTTAAGTGAGGGGGGGGGACATACCGAGAAGTCCTGGTCGTCGATGCCAAAGCGCTCTCTGAGGTTTCGAAACACCAGGGGGCAGTATTCCTTGAACTTGAAATGGCTGGGCATATTCTCCCTGGATGAAAAGTAACATTAATAAGAAGAAAACAGACAGGACTGTACAGTGATTGACAAGTGATGTAGATAAGGAATTACAAATCGGGACAGAAGGCTTGTCACTTGTAACAAAAGTACAAGTAGGAATCTGAAAAAGTAGCGTTTTTAAAAGTATACAAAATTTATATGAAACCTGCCTGGATGACAAAGGGAATACACAGATGTAAGACCAAGGACATGGTAATATAAAGAAAGCTGAAAATTCACTGTCTAAATAAAGAGTGTTTTCAATTATCCTTGTGATCTTAGAGTTGGTATTGAGAGTATTAAATCTATGTCTTTGTATCAAAATCAGCAGAATGATGTTAAACTTGACTCACTTGTTGAAGAGGTGGTTGTCCACTTTAATCTTGGAAAAGGCCTTGAAGTCGTCGGGCATGAGCATAATAGGAATCTGGACATGGCTCAGTTCATTTATCTGTCAAAGGATGGAAAGAGAAATGTGGTTATAAAGATGTTTTTCAATAACACTTCCCAAGTAAAGTTTACATAGCTTAAAGGGCCAATATTACACTTTTTCTGATCTATGTTATATAATGTTGTTTCCTCATCAAAAACATACCCAGACTCCATACATCTTCACTAGAATCATTTGGTTAATATCAGCCCTACTCTGCTCTGGTAAACAAAAGATAAATGGTAGCTGTTAACTTGAAAAAAACTGCTTCATGACATCACAAGGTGAAACAGAGCATTTTGAACTTTGGAGATGTAGACAGATTAATAATAATAAAATTTAATAATATGTGTGAATGACACAAACACAACTCTATGTTTTTAATGAGGTAGCAACATAATCTAACATGACTTAAAGCTCCCAAGAGTCAATTTTGCGTCATATAGGACCTTTAACTTTATGACTCCTAATTGCCCTATAAAAATGTACCACCCTCTTTCTGTATAAACTTTGTAGAATGATTGACCTGTGTGTCCTGGTCTCCTGATGTGAACTGCTGAGGCTGTAGTTTAAACCTCCCATAGTTTAACAGCAGCAGACGCTTGACTCACACTCAGACAAATGTGAGCTGTTGTGTTTCTCTCTCCTGCAGGTCTCACGGAGCTATTATTAGACTTGAATTTGACAAAGGACAATAACAACGTAGGTGTAATCTGTGATGAGTATTCCCTTATCATTCAGTCTCATTTTACCTCGAAAAGTTTGACTAAAATTTCCCCAAATTAAAACTAAAACTGTTCTTGAACCCACTGGAGAGCTGTAGTTTTGGCCACTGCTGTCTAATCTACTCATTATAACTGGTAACAAGCTTTGCACAGAGCAGATTTATTTGTTTATTTTGGAGCAAATATATACGAGGAGTAAAGCTGGTTTGGGCTAACAGCTTGTGGAAGGGCTGTAGTCGACTAAAGATAGTCTTGGCCAACTAAAGATGTCCTGCCAGTTGGTTAGTCAACAAAAAATGGGCGTGGCAAAATATCTCCAAACTGTGTATCTCTATCTATCTGACCCAAACTGCACTCACTCGAAAAACAACTTTTTATACAGATAAGAGTACAAGAAAACACTGTATTTATGTTCAGATTAAATTTGTGAGTCACAAGTTTAATCTGCCATGTTTAAATAATAAATATAAATAGCCTACCCAAAATACCGAATATTCAGCAACTCACTAACTTCTCCTTTCTGCTGTTGCAAATTCTTATAATCTAAATAAAATAATTACTCAACTACAAGCTTTAGTCAACTAAGACACCATCAACTGATTAACTGACTAAACAACAAAAGGACTACAGCCCTACACTGTAGACTGAGTATTTTAGGGACAAGCTAATATCAAATATCACAATGAGAATAATATTTTTATTATTTGTGGGTTTTGGCGAACTGCATATTGATAAAATGTATATACAAACCGTAATGGAAATTAATATTTATTTGTAAATAAATAAGAGGGCTACAGCTTTCCCTTTCTATATTGCAAATGCCCAGAGCTTGATAGTTCCCATTTATCAGATGGTTGACAAAAGGGAAACAATGAAGACAGAAGAAATATTTACACAAATATGACTTAAAGAACAAGAGAGTGCCACCAAAAACTGTTGGTTTCAAACATGTTCAAAGACCACAGGTACAATGGGCTGAATGTAGCAGAGAAAGACAAAAGAAGGTCAGTTGCAGCGGCACAAACTGCAAGTCCACAGATGTGAGCGTTTCAGTGCAACGCTGCGACAGGCATTGACGTCACACCGATGCCACGGAGGCACAGATGCATGCTGGGAGTGCACTCCGGAGAGGAGATGTCACCTCATTAACAAAGCGGAGTTTCACACGAGGCCCCACACAATGTCTCGTCTTCACAAGCTGAGCGGCCGTGAGGGTAATTCAACCAGTCACCTCAGGCAAGAGCCACTGTAAGGGATGTCAAATTATACATATGTTTAACTAACTGCTACTGTAGGCTGCTTCTGTTCACCACATCACAAGTGCTATCAAATAACTATGGCAATGGGAGACTAGTTTGCAACACAAATTGAAAGTGACTGTTTTGAAAATATGTACAATTTGAAAAGTATAGAAAAGCTCGAAATAGCAAGATTAATCACAATCAAACTGAAATAGCAATTTAAATGGACGCAATTAGCAAATCGCAAAGACTGCAATAACTTTTGCGTAAACACTGTTCAATTTAGTTTAGATCTGTACACTCTCTTCTTCTGTGTAATTCTTAAATTAGTTTGACGGTTATTATTTCAGTCATTTTGTTAATTCATCTGGATGCGTTTAAAAAGTGAACTTTGAACAGAATGCTATTATTAAAACTGGCAAATGGCAAACGTAATTGTAATCTCAATGCTTGTCAGAAAAATAGCAATTGGACATTTTTTACAAATCATTCAGCCCTTAATATCTGATAAAAAATAAAACATGCACATGCAGGAAAATATATATAAAAGCCTGAATATATTAAAAAGCCTGAAGCTCAAAACATTAATATTTCTCATGGACTGTAAGAATGCCATTTGATTAATGTTACTGTCACGGTAATCACAAAGAACAGAAATTTATTTTTGAGAGAAGAACTCAAATATGCAGGGTTTGTGTGAATGAAATCCATGTATGTTTTTGACGAGGAAACAATATTATAACATAGATCAGAAAATTGCGTAATATACAGTATATCTGGCTTTAACAGTAAATCTTTGAGTCTTGGGGTGTCTTGAAAATCATCAAAAGATATTCTGTATTGTTAATCATATCAAGTACAACTGTCTATTTCTGCTTAATCAGCCAATATCCCTCTTCTCTATCAGTTTGCAGAGTTTTTGCAGCACCACTTCCTGTGTGTCTCCATGGCAACGTGCATTGGTTTTCCGGCCCGTAGTGAAGCATGTGCGCGCGGGAGCTGTGGACAGGAAGTAGAACGGGAGCGTGTGCAGTGTCAGCAGCAGAGGAGCATGGCTTAATGTGATCGGAGCCAACCAGATACAGACGGATGATGACAGCTCACACCACAGTCATGTAAAGTTACAGACTTCTGCCTCTGTGGTCTGGGTTTGGATCATACAGACAATTTATACCTCAATATTCACAGTTTTATGTGTTAGTTATTTAGTATAAGATATTGGTACCGTATCATATCAGTTATCGGCTTCTAAGATATTGGTTCAGTCAATATCCCATTTTGGTCTATGAATTGGTGAAATAAACCAATTTCCTAGAAAATGTTTGCCCAAAACACTTCGTAATATTAAAGTTGTATTTTCACAAAGTTGTCCTGTAGTTACTTTAAATTATATACAACAGTTACAAAACATATTTGAATAATTTTTTACCATGTTATGCTGTTTGTGTTTAAAAAAAAAACTAATTATAATTTCAGTCTCTGCCCTAGTATTAGTTAATGAATGAATGAATGAATTCTTCTTCTTATTAATTAATTATTATTTATTAATGGAGAACAGGGGCTCAGAGACTAAAGACGGTCCGCTGGTGGAGGCTGCAGTGGAGCGTGTGGATATTATCAAGAGGGTGGCGGTTGAACTGGACCCTGCAGATGTGGACACTCAAAGGTAGTGGTGCCTGGAGTGTCGGTCAAGACATTGCCGGTGGGTGGTGGGATCAGAGGGGACAGATGTTGCTGCAGGTTGGGTGGAGGTGGTTTCTGGAGCGTCAGTCAAGACCTCAGTGAACACAGGCAGAAAGAAGGTGATGGTGTTCAAGGTTTTGGTCAAAGCCAGTTCAGAGGAGATGGTGGTCAAGGAATTTGGGCTTGTGGAGGAAGGTGGGCTAGATGTTGTGGAGCTTAAACTGGGAGAGACAAAGGTGCTTGTGGTAGACGTATCTGTGGAGCTTGCACGTTTAGGTATTTTTGTAGTTGAATGTGTCAGTCTAGATGTCTTGAATTCCGTGGAGATGGTGGGTTCAGATGTAGTTGTAAAGGAGCTGGTGCTTGTGGTTTGGTGATGATGACCATGGTGATGATAGTTGATATTGGGTATAGGCAGATACTTAAAGCCAAAGTATTAAAATCATATCAGAGCAGAAAAAGATGCATTGTGCATCTCCATTTTCTATCAAAAAATTCTCCATGGCATGTTGCTGTCAGAGAAGCCTAGATTGCTGCACAGACTGAACCACAGAGCTTTTGGTTGATTGTGCATTTCCCCACTACACCAGTGCCTGACCACAGCTTCTCCACCCCTAACCTTATAACTGATGTTTACACAGCTCAACATCACCACAATTACCTTTTACACACCCTTTTACATGGCCAACAAATGTCACAAACTGTGGCATTACTTAAACCACTTGACCTTTAGCAGAGGCACTAGCTATATTATTCTGGCCTATTCACTACAAACAACAATACGCTCGGAAACAGCCACACATGACCCAAGTGCCTGGATGAATCATAGCCACGAATCAGGACAATACTGAGGGTGTGTAAAAACTTACTACAGGGGCATTTAAAGCAACACTGTGTAACTTTTTGGAGCTGGAATGTGATCTGAATGATTCCATGGAAAGCCAAAGTTAAAACCATATTTCATGGAGATGGATGAGTCTTATGCCATATTGTGGAATATTGTAGCCAAAGGAACAACATTTCCATGGAGAGTCTGTACTGTGGAGATGCTGGCCTGAGTAAGGATCCCTGTTTTTCCAATATTTTACAGTAAAATAAAAAAGTAAAAAATAAATAAATAAAACATTCTTATATTTTAGTCTATTTGGCTGAAAAGTTACACGGTGGGGCTTTAAGGTGGCAGCTAAAGCTAGTACAGGTATGAAAAAGCATTTAGCTGATGAGGCGTAATGGTGGTCAGGTGAAGGCCAGGTGCATGAGCTGTAACCTCATTTAGAAGAGGAGATGTGAGCTTAAGTGTCAACAGCTCTTATTGTGTTACTGCTGTAGAGACTTTGCAGAGAGGGAAGGGCATCTGTAATAAGAACACTGCAATCATACAAGTGCAGGAGCAGGAGCAGAGACAGATGGAAGGAGCTTCATTATGTTATCAAAGGGAGTTATGGAGTGTGAGCTCATGCTTCTATTTACAATAAAGGAATAGACTCACTCAGTGCTGGCTTATTAACATCATCATTTGTAACTATTACTCGCCCAAGTGTCCGCTTTATTGCCATGTTTATTTCTGTGTGGTATTTTAAGTTTTACACACTGCCACATATTCTGGATAACCGCTGACAAAACACATTCTTATCCTGAATCAATGTTGTAAATACATTTACAGTTGATGCTAGAAAATTTTGAGGAACAATATATGGGCAATATATTGTTACAGAAAATACAGCACCAAAATAACAATATAAAAGACAAGCAATTTCAAAAATATAATGTGTATTAAATAAAACGAACTAACTAAAAATCAGGAACAAAGAAACAGCTCCAGAGGACTAAATACAAATGTTTCTACACAGCTGTTGCCCTAAAGAAGAGAATTTAAAATAAAAATGAATTGAATGACACAATTTGCTCCATAAGGACAATGATACTAGATTAGTACATATTAAATATCAGGGGAGGTTGTACTTAAGACATGGTAGGAAATATACCTTAATATCAGCTATTGTCTCATCCCTACTGTGCATACAGACACAGATACTACTGTATATACAAAATAACAGTGACTGGTACCTGAAGACAGGCTTTAGTATATAATGGTAGTGTTCATATGCAGTCCTGTTGTGAATGAAGTCTGGCTATTAAAGGCTAGAGCAGCTCAGACTGACGGAGCATGAGCCGTATGACCTGCAGAGTCAAGCTGCTCAAAAACATGTTCCTCTGAGCAAGCAGAGGGAGACAAGAATATATCAGTAACCACAAATCACGTGTACCTGTAGTAGTGCAGTCATTGGGATATTTATAGACCATTCAAACCAGGTACTGCCACAGACAAGCAGTTATTCGGTTGAAGATGGGGGCTGGGCAGTTAATTGAGATTCAGTCATTTCAAATTGTCAGTGATCAGCTTGGATCATTTCAATTGAGAGGTCCACAGCCAACCCTCTATCAGTAAAAGTACTTGTGGTCTTAAGTATTTAGACTTTGGAGGAAGGAATGGCTATTTTTAGGTGTTTAATTAATGATCTCTATAGTTTATTTTCAGGGAAAAAATATAATTTTGATTGAAAATTGTGTTTGATCAATGAGGGGAAAAACGTCCTGGTTATTTAAATTTTTTATATGATAGCCTAGTACCTGCCCTAGATGAAAACACAATTTGACCAGAGAGAAGTTCCACACACTGAAGAAAGAGGAAGAAGCAGCATGCGCTATTTGTTAGTTTTTCATCAAAGATGCCTATACACTACAGGAGGAGAGAGAGGGCATCAGGAGCCGTGGTGGACAATATCCAATAATTGGCCCCACAAATGTAATATTGATTTAGTAAGAAAACATTGTGACAGACTCTTCTCCAATAGTGCAATCAGATCCCTCAGGACAAGAATAGACAAGCCGGGGCTACATTCTCTTCCTCTGAATTTACAGCTCAGCATATTCTTATCAAGGTGAAATAACTCCATTTTCATATATTTATTTGACATGTTTGACTCAGGGAAGCAGAAATACTAGTGTTTTAACGTAGGTTGTCAGTTTGTTTTACACTGTGCAATATAGCATATAACACCTTTTTGATCACAGTGGATTCATAACTATGTTTGACAGATAAACCTGCTTCTAAAACAGTTATTGACAGTAACCACATGACCTAGATCAGCAGATGTCTGTATGCTCTGGCCCAAAGACGACATGTAACAGATGTTTTTTGCATCATTATAAAAAAGATAAGTGTCCTTTGCAGAAGCTGGATGGACAGGGCTGCATTCTTGAGCTAACCCTCCATTGACTCCTGCAGGCGCTTGTTATTTACAGCTCAAACGGTTGGAGCTCTAGATTCTTGTACCTTTGCCACCATTAGAACCTTCAGACCATTTACAGTCCAGCCAAAGCCAAATTTAGAAAGTTAACAAGTTCATACAATTATAGCCAAGAGTAAGAGAAACTGACAGTAGAAATCTCACAAGTGCCTAAAGCATCAGAAATACATGATGTACTCAGAGTTGTGCAACTCCAGGAGTGTTTGAACCTGTAGAATGTAGTTACAAAAGAGAAGAGAAAGTGTAATGTGAAAGTGAGTGGAAACTCCTATATTATACAATAAAGAACCATGAAACAAATTGTAGGTACATTATTTTTGGTGGATTTTACAAAGTCGGCTGATGACTAGGCCCTATTTAATCATAACATTAACTAAAATCTGTCTTATGAGTCAAATGTTTCTTATAATTTGCTCCATAAGATCAGTTCAACTTTATAACCATAAAGCATCTAAAATAACCTTTTGTAATAGGAATGATACAGACTTAATAACAGTGTAATTATGTTTCCACTAGCTGACTCAGTGGCTTCACCACTCTTCTCTTGCACATATGACTGCAGTCGCAGTGATACTTAGCACAGGAAAGTAAAGCAGAACAGAGATAAGCCTTCTTGCATGGGAAGATGTGCTCTCTCATGACATGGAGCCCTTGGAGCTTATCCTGAGCACAACAGGAAACTGAGGAGCTGTCTCTGCTCAGCTCAACACACTGAAAAGGCTGCTCCACATAACCATAACTATAAGAATAGCATGGAGTTTATGCGAATGTGTGTTAATAAACAGAAGAGCAACAGATTAGACCACTTAACATTTGACGTTCCGGTCAGTAAAAGTGAGCCGCTAGACAGAGCCGTCATGTGTGATCTGTCAATCATCCGTGATAATAGAAAAAAGCGCAGTGGCAGGCCCTGGCTTACTGTGGTGCATTATAATGATGGAGTGCAGATAATCACAGAGGTATGACGGTGATAGCGCACAGATAATAACACACATAAAGGTGATATCTTACCGAGTGGTTGACTCCCCACATCAGCACGCTGAGCAGAGGGTCGCTGGCGCGGAAGAGCTTCACTTTCTGAGCAACGAAGTGTTTTTTCTTGGTCTTCGTTTTACTGGCAATGGTTGCTGCAATGCTGCTCGCCGATGCCATAGTTACAGAAGACAGTGACTAAACTCAATGTAAGAGCCAAGATAGTATTTCTCCAACGCAGTTCGCACTGACCACCAGCTCAAGACTGCGTTATAACCACGAACATTCAGCCTTCACGTAATTGGAGTGTCCCGGTTGTTTTCTTCATTCAGGCTTTGCTGTACAGGCCAGGCACGCTTGTAAATGATGTGAGAATAGTTTGAAGCTAACACTGCTGTTCTCCCTCGCCTGGCAGTCTGCCACTTCTCTCAGACCACATCATAAGTCACTTCTCTTCCTTCCTCGCCGCGGCAAGACTCACTGAACTGGCGTTAGCTTTAGCAACATAGCTAACAGTAACGATAATATAGTAAAAACGCTCAGTCGGCCGTGCTGGTTGTACGTGGGGTCCGTCTAATGATAAGCAAAAAAATATAGGTGGATTTCCACAAAAAGCTGCCAGGTCTGGTTAAATAAACATGTGATGATGCTCTGTGGTAAGAGACTTCTCTCCCGTAGCTAACCGTGAGTCCTCCCGACCTTCGCTAGCCGTCAGCTAACTCCACCGCACAAAGCAGCACAGGCTCCGTTCAGATGCTAGTCTTAGTTAGCATCAGATCCAGCGCACACTGAGCAGCTTATAACAAGCGACTTCTCCTGCAGGTTGTCCTCATTCGACAGAGATGAGTGGCCTGCCGTGCCCCGTCATGTCCCTGTTCTGTGGTATTAAACACGGAGGATGTGTAGAGTGTGAGCAGTGCCAGGCTCATGTGTGCCGCTGTCACTGACAGCTCGACAGAGGGGAGGTGACACCCATGGGTGACACACTGCGCTGATTCGCTGCGCCCTTCCTCCCCCCGCGGGGCGTGTGCTTTCTCCCTGCATTTCATGCAAAACGTCAGAAATCAGCAATTACAATTAACATATTTTACTACGACCAGATACAGGATTTTTAATTTTATTATTATTATTTTTTTATACGCATGTATATTTAGTAATCGTGGAAAATGCCTTATAAAAGGATGGGGGGTACATTATTACACGCTTTACAGCAGAACCTCGCCTTTGTATAATAATTTTAGCATTCTTATTCACCAAATTATCAGTCGGTATTCGCCCTATAACAATTAAGAAGCCTAACAGTGGAAGGCCCACCCTGCACTACGGGACCTTTGTAGCCCTCACGCCAGAGGACCGTTACCTAGCAACGCGGCGTGGGTCTTAAACATAGGATTGAGGTTAGCTCCTGCTTCGTTTGACAGTTTTGTCCCCTAAACCTTGTTATGTTTGCAAGATTTCTACTATAGCGGAAGAGACAGAGACTATAGTTCACATCAGACAGCAGCTGATCTGACGTGTGTTGCGTTTCCAGGGCTGTGTCCGGCAGTGCGCAAAGTTTAGCCTTTCAGCTAATGCGACCTTTTCCCGTTACATTAGCGCTAAACTTATAACTTGCGCAATGGTGAAGAAAGGTAAAAGGGAAAGCGAAACTCCAACAAAAGATACAGTAAGTTAATTAAACTCAAACTAAAATGAATCATTGTGAATAATGTATTCATTAGTTTTTATGGTAGTAGTAATTATCTGTAAAATTGAATAGGCTATTACAGATAATAAGTGTACTATTATCTGGTGTGACAGATGGTGGTTGTTCCACAATTACAACTTATAACCACAAAAGCATATTTTATTTCTTCTACCAAGTTTGATCCGGTCGCAGTTGAAGGCAAAACTCCAGCAACAGTTGTTCTCCTGTTGAACTCTCCTGAAGAAGAAATCCTTATAAAAGCTTGTGAAACAATTCATGCATTTGCAGACAGAGGTAGAGTATGTAATTAACAGTAATAATACATATTAGTTAAATAGTAGCCTTCTATATTTGGCTCACTGTCTCCATCTGTTGTCAGGAGATGAAAACAAGGTGTCACTTCTGGGCCTTGGGGCCTTGGAGCCTTTATGTCAGCTCATCACTCATGGTAACAAGCTGGTCAGACGCTGTGCTTTCATGGCCCTGGGCGTCATGTCCACCCACAGTGAGTGAGCAACATCTGTGAGCACTCACCTACACACTAAGATACGGAGTGCTTACTATAATCCCTTTGTTTCAATTACAGCTGAAGTGAAAAATGCATTGCAGAAATGTAACATAATTCCATCCATTATTGACAAGCTCTCTCCACAAGGTGAGTTATCATGCACTTTTAACGTTTTATAATTTATTATGATTTTCAAAATACAATAAATGCAATTAATCTGCAGAGGAGACAGTTGTTCATGAGTTTGGGACTCTGTGTCTGGCTTCAATGTCAGTGGATTTTGTCAGTAAAGCACTGATCTTTGACAATAATGGTTTGCTGCCAGTGATTCGACTTCTCTCCAGTCCTGATCCAGATGTAGTCAAAAATTCACTGGAGATAATTTTCAATCAAATTCAGGTGACTCTGTGTATTTTTAACACATACACTACAGAACTCACTTCATGTTCTATGTGTCTAACTATTGTCTATTCTTGTGTGTAAAGGATTACCCAAGTCGCTCAGCCATACATGAACTTGGAGGCATACCACACCTACTGGCCCAGCTGAAGTCAGAATTTCCTGTAATTCAACAACTGGCTTTAAAAAATACTGCAGAATATCACAATAGATAAAGACACACGCATTACCTTTAGAGAAGAGCAAGGATTTGAAAAGCTCATAGATATTCTTAAAAATAAGGTAATGTTAACAGCAGTGTCAGATCAGTCATGGACACAGCTTTTTACCATGAAAACTCAAACATTTTGTTTTGTGCATCGTCTTTTCACAGGACCTACATGACCTTCATGCTGGCTCATTACATATTGTTGCAAACTGTTTAAATGATAGTGAATGTTTCCAGCTTATTCACAAAGGTGGAGGTCTGGCCCAGCTGATGGAGTTTATCCTCAGTCCAACACTGCCAGAAATCCAGGCCAATGCTGTAAAATGTATTGCCAGAGTGGCTCAGAGCTGTAAGCACAACCATCTCACTTCTGTTTAAATGTTGTTTATTATGTGACTGTGTGGATAGGAGAATATTTACATCGAATCTATTGTGCAGCTGAGAATCGCAACATTCTTCATGAGCAAAATGTGGAGAAGGTTTTAGTGGAGCTCTTCTCTGTGAATGATGACAGAGTAAAAGCAGCAGTCAGCCAGGCTGTGTCTGCCATGAGCACCAACCTCGCCAGTAAAGAGGTCCTCAGGGAGCTTGGTACATGGGCAATTACAAACAACAACAAAGAATTAGCACACATTACATCTAGTGTCTAATTAATATGTGTTCATTATAGGGGCTATACATCCACTGGTACGGCTATTGAGCAGTGAGGCTTCATCTGTAAAACGGGACGCATCAAGAGCACTTTCTGATCTTACCCACAACAATCTCCTTAATGTGATGTGAGTCAAAAGTACCACTGTATTCTATGTTTATGTGCAGTTGTGTGCTCACCTGTTTTGCCCTTGTAAAATCAGTGTTGCTGTTTATCTTAAAGGGCTGTGTATGAAGTCACAGGTCATGAGCCACTGGTCCGGCTGCTCACTGAACAGTGTCTTGAGACTGTGGCCAGTTCTGCTGCAACTCTGAGCAACATGGCGGGACAGGAGGAGATCCGCTACAGTATTTTGTCCCAAAATGCTTTGCCAGCCCTTGTGCAGCCTCTGAAGTCCAAAGATTCTCACGTTCTAATCAGCTCAGCACTCTGTGTCGCAACTCTGGCTTGTGACACCGCATCTAGGACAGAGGTATAATATTTAAGAAACAAGTATTTTTTTTTAAAAAGGATTACAGTTTAATTTTAATATTATCCTTGCCCTCTTTTGTGAAGTTTAAAAATGCTGGAGGTCTTCCACCACTGGTCAATTTACTGGACTCTAAATACAAAGATGTTCAGAAGATGGCTTCCTTAGCTGTCAAGGCATGTGCCTGTGATGGGCCGTGTGCAGTGGAGATGTGTGTATTGGGGTAAGATCAGAATTGTTATGGATAATGTACGCTTAAAATATAGTCTATGTTTTGGAACATGTGTATCAAAGAAATCATTTAGTGTCAAACTGAGGTGATTTACAAAATAGCCACTAGATGTCAGCATTTGGCAGCATAATAATTTCCTATATTACGCTCATCTGTAAGTACCTCTGCTTATGCCAATGTACTATGTTTCCAGAGGTCTGGAAAAACTTCAGAAGATCAACCAATCAGAACACCAAAAAACTGTTTTCAGTGAAATGGCAATGACGAGCCTGCTGAATTTTAACCTGCCAGTTAAATACAGCCTAACAGGCTTTTTGTCTCCCACTGACCATGTCACAGATCTTTTTTATGATTCTGGGAAGGTGCGTGCGATTAAAGAGAAGGAATCAAAGTGTCAGTACATGTAACAGTAACAGTAACAGCTGTGACATGTGTGTTTTGTCTCTTCAGGCTGTGGCAGGTCAAAGAGTCCTATCTCTGGAGGAGCACTACGGGCAACCTGTGAATCAGCACAGGGCCATTATCGTGATTAACATGGCCAAGCATGCAGCTGAGTAAGACCTCAATAAACACTCATATCACCGCAACACAGCATTTTCAACCTCTTAATTATTTTTTATCACTGTCAGTTTTAAGTAATTCTCTTTTTCTTAGCTCTGAAGTACACCCTTTCTGTATTGTCCTTTTATTAAAATTGTATTTTGCTTTTGTTGTAGCCACACAAGGTATTTAAGTGGCACTCTCAATGCAAAAATGTACTCATATTAGAGTACTGAATAAACCATTCAAAGAAGTCACACGAAAGAGAGGCAGTAGTGCCATTGTAATAGTGTCTTATTTTCCCTGTGGAATTTCATAGAGAGACAGTTGTTTGTACAGAAGAAAAGCAGCACCATTTATCTGGAACAGACATCAGCGTAAAGGGGGAGACACCAAGGTTAGAGTTTGTCTCTGGTGGACTCTTTCATAAATTACACATGCTAAAACCTGTGAGGTGTATGAATGGAAAAGTGTTTTTTCTAACAGGAAGAAAAAGGAAGAGGACAAACCAAAGAATAAGGATCTCCCTCGTGCAGTCTCTCAGTCCCCTCTTCAGAGACACTGTAAGATGTTGAATGACCAAACACTGGAGACTTTGGTTCAGGAGGCCAAAGAAAGTGTCCTGCTTATGGATGATGACATGTTGCAATACTCTGCTTTGGCCAGGTAAAAATTAGTTTAAAATAACTTTATTTCTTATTATTCCACCAACATGCAGACTCTTATATGGTGATGCACTAATCAAGCTTAACTAATAATAGTGATAAATATGTAATCCCTCAGTTGTCCAGGTAGATTCTATAGCAAAAGAAAATAGAATTCTGTCAATTGGACTAAAGTTGAGAAATGAAAATGAAATGAGAAACTAGCGGCCTCATGCAGCCCCATAGCACAAATTGCATTATGCTGGGAATTCATGATATAAAGTATGGACCGTTGTCATAGCAACAGACAATTCAAAACAAATTAATATGTCTTTTTAATAGCTAACAGTAGTTAATACATATTTTAAAACTTTTGTGTTAGGATGGTAAGCAAGGCCATGGGCGGAGAGGTGGACACGAAAAATATGGCCACATTCGAATGGACCCTTCACATCAGCGAGCTCAAATTTGAGTTACAGTCTAATGTAGTGCCTATTGGCATGATAAAGAAAGGAACCTACTACCACAGGGCACTTCTCTTCAAGGTTCCATACAACACTGGAAAATATTCCTTGAGTAATGTACTGTACTATTTCTATTTCATTGTAATGATTTTATTGCAGTGCCTGGCAGACAGCATTGGACTGAGTTGTTCACTTGTCAGAGGAGAGTATAACCGAGCCTGGAACGAAGTACAGGTGTTGGATGGACAAGCGCAGCGTTATGTTGTGGACCTCATGCACAAGCCTGGCAGTCTCCTGAAAATCAACACACCAGCTGCAGAAAAACATCAAAACATGTAGCACCCCTCAAGGAATGAGCATGAGCACGAGGTTTTTTAACAGGGTTTATTCACTCTTCAACCCGTGAGAACTGGCAGCAAAGAAAATAATAAATAAAACATCAAAATTAACTCTGCACCTTACAATATAATACAATATAATAATAAAGCACACAAACCTCGTGGGCTGACATCCACGAGGGGGCTAATTGTTAATCTTGCTTCAAATCCCTTCGCTATATACTAAATAAAACAATAAACAAGTGTTTACATTGTTATTCCCATAAAAATGTATCTGACTTATTCTCATTTTACCGGAGATATTCACATGTCCGCGGCAATGTGTTGACAGCAAGGTGCGCAGTTAATTAGGTTCGGGCGGAACTTTCTATTATACTTTGTTCCACATTGTGATTGACCACTAGATGGCGCAAAGTAAAATATAAAGACAAGCGCGAAATTATATATATAAATATTTGGGACCGTTACACTCCCACCAATCACTTGTGATTCATGGAACTGAATACTGCCTTTAAGCTTATGAACTAATTATTTAAACATGCAATAAACTATTTATTTATTTATGAACTATTTATGGAATGTGAATTATTACTTTAGAGTATTAAGTGTTAGGTATCTTTAATTTGCTTCCCACAGGACAACTGTCTTCTGAATGGGCCTTTCCAGGTAAACCGGTTTGGAGATACGCTTTCCCTTTTCATCCAAAGTTGGATCACTCATCAGTAGCTTAACCTTTCTCACTCTTTCGTCCTTACTAGGGTACACATCAACGATTTTCGCCAACTTCCACTGGTTTCTTGGGGTTATTTCATCTTGCAAAAGCACAATATCATTGATCTTGGCGTTTCTGCGTTGCTTAGTCCATTTTTGTCTACTTTGAAGATTTAGCAAGTACTCCTTTTTCCATCTTGCCCAAAAGGTATTGGCAAGGAGTTGAACACGACGCCATCTCTTCCGAAGATAAAGGTCTTCCTTGACAAATTTGCCTGGGGGTGGAGAGATGATTGTGGACTTCATGGTCAGTATGTGGTTTGGTGTTAGAGGTTCTGGGCTTGATGGGTCACATAGCTGGTCTGTGGTCAGGGGTCGACTATTTATCACTGCCATGACTTCATATAGGAATGTTCTTAGGGAGGAACTGTCGAGTTGTTTAGCTGATTGTTCTAGGATTGATGTCAGAACACTTCTTATGGTGCGGATTTGTCGCTCCCAGACGCCACCCATATGACTTGAGGCTGGGGTGTTCATGAGAAACTCGCATTCCAGATTTTCCAGTTTGGCTTGGTCCATTTCTTTAAGTGCCTCTACAAACTAATTTCTTGCGCCGACAAAGTTCGTGCCTTGATCACATCTTATCTGGCGAACTGAACCTCGTATGGCAATGAATGCACGCAATGCATTGATGAAGGCATCAGTGGTTAAATCATCAAGCATTTCAATGTGTACTGCTCTGGAGCACATGCAGGTGATTAACAAGCCATAGCGCTTTAGCTCCTTCCTGCCATCCTTGACATAAAAAGGACCAAAGCAGTCCATCCCGCAGTAGGTGAATGGTGGGGTAGTCTCCATCCGATCTTCTGGGAGGTCTGCCATTTTCTGCTGTTCCGTGCACCTCCTGAACCTTCTGCACTTAATACATCTATAGATATGAGAAGATACAACCTTGCTGCACCTGAGGATCCAATATCCATTTGCGCGAAGCTCATTCATGGTGATCCCTCGCCCTTGATGGTATGTTTTCTCATGATAATGCTTAACGAGTAACGTTGACACATGGCTGTCTCTTGGAAGGATCACAGGATGTTTGACATTGGAGTGTAATGTAGCATGCGTGAGACGTCCTCCAACTCGAAGTGTGCCCTTATCGTCCAGGAATGGACTCAACTTGTGTAGCTTATTGGCCTTGTCTTTGGATTGGATTACTTTGTGATTTTGAAAGGACTTTATTTCATGTGAGAAGGCAGTATCTTGAGCCATTCTGATAACTGTCAGCTCTGCTTCCTTTCTTTCTTCAAGATTACTGACTTCATAGGACCTTTTCTTGCATTCCTTCACTTCCTTTGCGAGGCGCTTAAGTCTAGCAATGGCTTTGATCATTCTTGACCAATCGGAGAACTTGTGCAAGCGATCCAGAAGTGATCTTTGTTCTTTAGCTTGTGTCTTGAGCACTTGAATCTTCTTGACTTCTGGATCACTGCTTGATAACTCTCCCACCTTGATTTCACTGCTGGACACGACTTTCTGCCAGAGAAGGTCTGGGCCTTTAAACCAGTTTGAGGCCATAAGTTGATCAGCTGTAAGACCTCTAGAGGCATGGTCTGCCGGGTTCTCTTCGGACGCCACACACCTCCACTGTGTAGACTCTGTACTTTGTTTGATGCGTTCAATTCTATTCGCAACAAACACATGGAACCTCCTGGCTTCATTTCCTATGTATCCGAGGACAACCTTTGAATCTGTCCAGTAGGTTTCTTGTGAGAGTCCAACCTCCAGTTCCTTTTTCAGCATATCACCAGTGCGGACAGCAACTACAGCAGCTGACAACTCAAGTCGTGGAATGGTTGTGACTTTCGATGGTGGAACTCTTGATCTTCCCATCACCAGAGAACAGTGGACTTCACCAGATGTGCTGACTGCTCTAAGGTAGGTACACATGCCATATCCAGATGCACTGGCATCGGAGAAATGGTGCAGTTCATAATGCTCTGCCTTGAAGTTATTTGGAGTGTAGCATCTTTGAATCTTTACCTTTGCTAAATTCCTCAGATCAAGCAGCCAAGATTTCCACTGAGGTCGAAGACTTTCGGGTAAGGTATCATCCCAGCTAAGCTTATCTCGACACATCTGCTGCAGGATCTGTTTCCCTAGCAAGATGAAGGGTGACACAAATCCAAGTGGATCAAACACGGAGGCAACTGTGGACAATTCCTCTTCGAGTGAGTGGATTTTCCTTAACAGTCACTCTGAACTGGAACTGGTCTGATTCCACACACCATTGTACACCTAGTGCTCTCTCCATGTGTACTTCGCTCAACGCCATATCCATATTTTTGGCAGCTACTGTGCATTCTTCTCTTGGAAGTGAAGCTAAGACTTTGGTGCTGTTTGAGATGAACTTATGTAATCGAAGATTGCCGGTACTGCAGAGTTCACGTGCTTCCTTGACGAGCTGTATTGCTTGGCTTTCTGTATCGACACTTGCTAATCCATCGTCAACATAGAAGTTAGTTTTCATAAACTTAACTGTTTCCTCACTGAACTTTTTGTGGGTGGTACACCCCATGGTGTGGGATGTACCATGCTGGGGTCTTGTTGATGTCTTGCTCGGGCACCTTCTCAGCATCACCGTGAGCTATGATTTCCTCCATGAACTTATTATAATCCATGTAGTATTGCTTGTTCCTTCTCAGCTTTCTTTCCAAGCATTTGAGCCGATGAATGGCACATGCCTTGTTGTCAGGTAAGTTAGGCTTGTCACTCTTAAATGGAAGTGGCATCTCAAAATGTCCATCCTCCTTGAGCCTAATGCCTTCCTTCATCTTCGTCAGGAACCTGAGATCCTCTTGGGAGATCTTAACATCTTCTGCAGCTCTTTCCACGAAATCAGACTCCAGCATTTTGATTACGTCAGCAGGTGAGACAATTTCTTTTATTTGAGTTCTGCACACGTAATGCACTTGACTGGTGAACCTTGAGGATGGCTGAACATCTGGGACCACGTGCTTCACGATGACCTGGTGGCTTACTCCGAAGGCATCTCCATAATCAAGACACGGATTGCCAAAACCCACGATACTCCAGCCCAGATCAGTTCTTTGTCCAAATGGCTGATGTTCCTTGCCAGACACGACTTGACGCGGAACAAGTGCTTGAGGGCAGTTGTAGCCAATCAAAAGACCAACATCACAACTTTGGAGAGGAGCGATTTCATCTGCAATATGTTCAAGATGGGGCCATGCCTTAGCAGTTCCTGGTGTTGGAATGTGATCTCGATTTGCTGGAATGAAGTCTCTCGCGTATGTTACTGGCAAAGGAATTATCTTATTTGAGTAAAATCCTCTTACTTGTAAGCCAGAGAGCTTCTGACAGGTAACGACAGTGTTTCTTGATGACATCGTAGTAAGCTTTAACTGAACTGGTTCACTTACAGTGTGCAGAGCTCTTGCAGTTTCTTGTAAGATGAAGGTTGTGTCACTCTGTGTATCAAGGAGTGCGTACACTAGAACTTCACACTCTGGCTCACTTTCAGCTGAAACCCAAACTGGAACGATAGAGGATGTGAGTATCCTTGATGTTCTGCATCACTCTGTTAGAAGTTGCTTCAGTTGCTGTTTGTGTGACATTGGTGTCTTGTGGAGTTGAATCTGGTTGGCCCTCGCCCCTAACAAAAAGGGGTATTGTTTTTCGTCGGTTTCTTACGCTCTATTATTGGCCCTCGCCACTAACAAAGTTAGGGGCGAGGGGTATTGTTCTTCGTTGGTTTCTTTTTTTTATTCCCTTTTCCGACCAAACGATCGCATTTTTGACCCCCTGAACATGGACGAAAAGTCCCCAAACCGGGGTCCAGATCGATCGGCCCGGCAAAAAATTCGATAAAATGGGCATCGCAACAATGACCCGAGTGACCCGACTCAACAGCGCCGCCTAGAATTGGACCCCTTACTGTTTCGTAAGAAACATATGTAATATATTGGCAAAATATTTATATTTCTTAAAACAATACAAAATACGAAAAATTGTTACATCTTAATCAAACAAAATAACATTCAAAAAGTGTAATTTCTACATAAACAAAATGTTCAAAGCATTGAAATAAAACAGTGTCTCTCATAAAAAATAAAAAATTAAAAAAAGACACATCTCTTCACCCACCTCTGGTTTTAACTGCCCAGCCTCTCCCTTTAGTGTGAAGTCTGCCACAGTTTGTACACGTTGCTTTAGGTTTGTGTCAGCACAACAGGATGAGATGCTCGCTCTGTGTCAATGTGATTTCTGTAAAACGTGTAATACTCGAATGTACAGTAGAGCTTTATTAACTGCCCTGTAAAACCCAGCATCACAAATGTCTTCTGAACAAGACCCATTTTCTTTTGCTTATTCTGTTTTATACTATTGTCCATCCATCCATTTTCGTCCGCTTATCCGGGGCCGGGTCGCGGGGGCAGCAGCCTATGCAGGGACTCCCAGACTTCCTTCACCCCAGACACGTCCTCCAGCTCCTCCGGGGGGACCCCGAGGCGTTCCCAGGCCAGCCGAGAGACATAGTCCCTCCAGCATGTCCTGGGTCTTCCCCGGGGCCTCCTCCCGGGGGACATGCCCAGAACACCTCCCGAGGGAGGCGCCCAGGAGGCATCCGGAACAGATGCCCGAGCCACCTCAACTGGCTCCTCTCGATGTGGAGGAGCAGCGGCTCTACTCCGAGCTCCTCCCGTGTGACTGAGCTCCTCACCCTATCTCTAAGGGAGCGCCCAGCCACCCTACGGAGGAAACTCATTTCGAGCGCTTGTATCCGCGATCTCGTCCTTTCGGTCACTACCCAGAGCGCATGACCATAGGTGAGAGTAGGAACGAAGACTGACCGGTAAATCGAGAGCTTCGCCTTTCGGCTCAGCTCCCTCTTCACCACAACGGTCCGATACAGCGACCGCATCACTGCCGAAGCTGCACCGATCCGCCTGTCAATCTCACGTTCCGTCCTCCCCTCACTCGTGAACAAGACCCCGAGATACTTGAACTCCTCCACTTGAGGCAAAGACTCCCCACCCACCCGGAGAGGGCAAGCCACCTTTTTCCGGTCGAGAACCATGGCCTCAGACTTAGAAGAGCTGATCTTCATCCCAGCCGCTTCACACTCGGCTGCAAACCGCCCCAGTGCACATTGCAGGTCCTGGTTCGATGAAGCCAACAGGACAACATCATCCGCAAACAGCAGAGATGAGATCCTGTGGTCCCCAAACCGGACCCCCTCCGGCCCCTGACTGCGCCTAGAAATTCTGTCCATAAATACAATGAACAGAACCGGTGACAAAGGGCAGCCCTGGCGGAGTCCAACATGCATGCACCGGGAACAGGTCTGACTTACTGCCGGCAATGCGAACACAGCTCCTGCTCCGGTCATACAGGGACCGGACAGCCCTTAGCAAAGGGCCCCGGACCCCATACTCCCAGAGCACCCCCCACAGGACACCACGAGGGACACGGTCGAATGCCTTCTCCAAGTCCACAAAGCACATGTGGACTGGTTGGGCAAACTCCCATGAACCCTCGAGCACCCTATGGAGAGTGTAGAGCTGGTCCAGTGTTCCACGGCCAGGACGAAAACCACACTGCTCCTCCTGGATCTGAGGTTCGACTATCGGCCGGATTCTCCTCTCCAGTACCCTGGCATAGACCTTACCGGGAAGGCTGAGGAGTGTGATCCCCCTATAGTTGGAACACACCCTCCGGTCCCCCTTCTTATACAGAGGGACCACCACCCCGGTTTGCCAGTCCAGAGGTACTGTCCCCGACCGCCACGCGATGTTGAAGAGGCGTGTCAGCCAAGACAGCCCCACAACATCCAGAGACTTAAGGTACTCAGGACGGATCTCATCCAATCCCGGAGCCTTGCCACCAAGGAGCTTTCCAACCACCTCAGTGACTTCAGCCAGGGTGATGGATGAGTCCGCCTCCGAGTCCCCAGCCTCGGCCTCCTCCTCGGAAGGAGGTGGGATTGAGGAGATCCTCAAAGTATTCCTTCCACCGCCGGACAACGTCCCCAGTCGAGGTCAGCAGCTCTCCCCCCGCACTGTAAACAGTGTTGGTGAAGAACTTCTTCCCCCTCCTGAGGCGCCGGACGGTTTGCCAGAATCTCTTTGAGGCCGTCCGATAGTCCTTCTCCATGGCCTCCCCGAACTCCTCCCAGCTCCGAGTTTTTGCCTCCGCAACCGCACGGGCTGCAGCACGCTTGGCCCGCCGGTACCCGTCAGCTGCTTCAGGAGTCCCCCGAGCCAGCAAGGCCCGATAGGACTCCTTCTTCAGCTTGACGGCATCCCTTACTTCCGGTGTCCACCACCGGGTTCGGGGATTGCCGCCGCGACAGGCACCACAGACCTTACGCCCACAGCTCCGAGCAGCCGCATCGACAATAGAGGCAGAGAATGAAGCCCACTCGGACTCCATATCTCCAGCCTCCCCGGAATCCGGGAGAAGTCCTCCCGGAGGTGCGAGTTGAAGGTCCCTCTGACAGAGGGCTCCGCCAGACGTTCCCAACAGACCCTCACTACACGCTTGGGCCTGCCAGGTCTTTCCGGCTTCCTCCTCCGCCAGCGAACCCAACTCACAACCAGGTGGTTATCAGTTGACAGCTCAGCCCCTCTCTTCACCCGAGTGTCCAAGACACGCGGCCGGAGATTAGATGACACGACTACAAAGTCGATCATCGTCCTCCGGCCTAGGGTGTCCTGGTGCCACGTGCACTTATGGACACCCTTGTGCTCGAACATGGTGTTTGTTATGGACAAACCGTGACTAGCACAGAAGTCCAATAACAGAACACCGCTCGGGTTCAGATCGGGGAGGCCGTTCCTCCCAATCACCCCTCTCCAAGTGTCACTGTCGTTGCCCACGTGGGCGTTGAAGTCCCCCAGGAGAACAACGGAGTCCCCGGTCGGTGCACTGTCTAGTACCCCTCCCAAGGACTCCAAGAAGGCCGGGTACTCAGCACTGCTGTTCGGCCCGTAGGCCGACACCACAGTGAGAGACCTGTCCCCGACCCGAAAGGCGCAGGGACACGACCCTCTCGTTCACCGGGGTGAACTCCAACACACGGCGGCTGAGCTGTGGGGCAATGAGCAGGCCCACACCAGCCCGCCGCCGCTCCCCGCGGCCAACGCCAGAGAAATGGAGAGTCCAGCCCCTCTCAAGGAGTTGGGTTCCAGAGCCCAAACTGTGCGTGGAGGTGAGGCCGACTATATCTAGTCGGTAACGCTCAACCTCCCGCACAAGCTCAGGCTCCTTCCCCCCCAGCGAGGTGACATTCCATGTCCCCAGAGCTAGTCTCCATGTCCGGAGATCCGGTCGTCGAGGCCCCCGCCGTCGACTGCTGCCCAGATCTCTCTGCACCGGCCCCATATGGCTCCTCCCGCGGGTGGTGGGCCCACGTGAGGACGTCCCCACGTCGCTCCTTCGGGCTAAGCCCGGCCGGGCCCCGTGGGGGAAGGCCCGGCCACCAGGCACTCGCTGACGAGCACCCACCCCAGGCCTGGCTCCAGGGTGAGGCCCCGGTGACGCCAATCCGGGCGACGTAACTGGCCTCTGTGTTGCACTCATCATAAGGGGCTTCTGAACCGTTCTTCGTCTGACCCGTCCCCCCGGACCTGTTTGCCTTGGGTGACCCTAGCAGGGGCATGAAGCCCCCGACAACATAGCTCCCGGGATCATTCGGGCACTCATACTATTGTTTTACTTGTAAATACATTTGGTACATCCAAGCACCAAAACAAATATACTAAAATCACAGTGAAATATTTATTTTATTCTTATTTAGCCTACGGTTATCATAATCACTAGGGTATTGTTTCAATGCACATTTTGTAGTCACACAAGAATCATGTGTGCAAGTTTACATTTATCTTTTTTTCCAATCAAAAGTTTTTTCACATTGTATCTCACATACATACATACATACGTAGAAATACCAGTATTTAATAAAACAATTTAGATATTTTATTACCTTTGTCAATGTAATATAACCACTTGCCTCCATCAGATATGCCTTACAGGCAAAAATATGCTGCACAGACTTTTCTATTTTCATTTCAAACTGTCTGTATATTAGTTTCATTTTTGTACAAAGTCATAATATTTAATAGCCACATTAATGGTCACATTGTTAAATCCGTTGACATAACTGGTTTAAATGTTTTCAAATATCGCATGAATGTTTTTTTGTGTGTTCATGTTTTGTTTTTTTATTGTTTTCAGCATTTGTTATGTACTTTATGCATCCGATATATCTGACCTATAAGTGATTTTTCCTGATACATTTCTGTTCTTTTAATGTACTAAATTAATAATGGTTTGGTATTCAGTTATATTATTGTATGTTGGTTACATATCCTCATTATCCAAGCACAAACATATAAAAATCACACAGGGTATGAGTAAGGGGGATGCATAGGCTCTGTAATGTCTATGGGACTCTTAATCCCGTCAGATTTGCAGCAGTCCCCTGTTGTCAGCCAGTTTGACCCAGATTAGAGAAAAGCACATACTGTGTGACGATAGTGACAACATTCCCACAACCTTTGCTATTTCTTTTACCAATTGTGTTAAAAAACAAAACGTGACAATAGTTTTCTTTTTGGTTTGTGCTGGCAGTGCACTTGTTATTTTATCTAG